AAAAGTTCAAACAGTGTCATATTTGTAAACAAACCACGAAAGGTTACACAGAAAGCACATTCTACACGGACATACTCAAGCACTACGAAGAAGAACACCCCGACGAAACAATGTACGCCTGCAACATATGCGACGTATCCCTCCCATTAGAGGGCATACGGATGCATACAGAAAACCACCACCCAATCGCTCAACGCTCAAAAGCGAAGAAAACCTAGGCACTGGTTAATGTCTCAGAAGGAAAAGAAGTAAGAAAACAGGCAACATGGAAAATATAAAACACGGTTAAATCACCACCTCTTAAACGTTTTGTATTAGACACATAATATAACTATAAAAAGTATCTGTTCTCATCATATAATATAATATGCTTAATCTAGGAATATTGAATACAATGTAAATTAAAAAAAAAAAAAAATTTCACAGATAACAGTAGCCAAGAGACGACTGACCCTGAAAAAATTCAATCAATATTTAGAGACTACTAGAATACCCGTCATCCGTTGGCTAACTGTGGGTTTCGGGGGTCATAGAAATAAAAAAAAAAAAGAAAAAAAAAAAAAAAAAAAAAAAAAAAAAAAAAAAAAAATATATATATATATATATATATATATATATATATATATATATATATATATATATATATATATATATATATATATATATATGGGGCATCTTCCGCTTGAGTTGGCCCCGAGCATCTACATAGGTCTGCACGCCACTGAATGTAGGTAAACCTGTGCCCCGACAAATATGATCCAAGTTATATAGCTCAGGCATTGTTTACATTCAAATAACACAGTTTTAGAAAACAAGGTCACACGTTTAAGAATATAAAAACACTGATGAAACCCTATTAAAATATATCGCCAGACTTTCTCTTCTAACCCCGCAGCAACGCGAGGGGACGGGCACACTAGTTTTAAATACAAGGAAAAACATGTACTTTTTTCTTCATTCTATCACTGAAAATGTAAATCATCATGGCACAACTATGTCATGTGGTTAAAAAAATTTTTTAATGCAAAGTTTTCAGCACAAATCACTACAGAATGGTGTTTTTAGAAGATCGATCATAGAGTTTCTGTACAGCCAAACAATGTTTGTTTTACGAAAGTGAAACATCAGGCTATAATTTAGTTATGATAAAAATAAATAGAAAGTAGCCTTAAATACACACACACACACACACACACATCTATACAAATTCAAGTTTTCAAAAAAAAAAAAATAGGCTTATAGTTTTATTTACATTACAAAAATGGAACCATCAATAAAAACACGTAAACATTATTTCAAATCCAAAACATCCTAAACAAACGTCTAATCAAACACTAAACAAACAAAACACAATTTTCGATGGAATATTATGTACATTCGATGCCTCGGATAGTCAAGGCTCTGACCACACAGACAACCTCCCTATCCCCTACGGCAATCGAAACGCCATCTAATATCCACAGCAAACACATAAAACAATACAATAAATACAAAACCATACATACAAAACATTACATACAAAACACTACACACAAAACACCCAGCCAAGTTGCAAAAACAACCTCACTCGAGCCGGAAAGGAAAACCCGTAGCCGCTGTCCAGTTGACCATTCACGCACAGATTCGCACACAAAATGTAATAATACAAATAATACATTCACCCGCTCACATGTGGTTTTCTATCAATTTGCAATGTCTTAATATCGCAAATCAACATAATTGAAATGAAATCGTTATGGGATATAATGTATAAGGAAATCTCTCCCCTCCCTCCCTCCCACAACGCAATCTTGCCTATGCCGCTGAAAGATAGACACTTCAGGATAGACAAAAATGCAACTAATTTTGTGTTTTCTTTCGTCTCAAAGTTTATTTACAAGATTTGTAGTTTTGTGTTTGTATCGTGCTTGTTTCTCTCATGAAATATCTGGAGTGGATGTGACGATGTTTGAAAGACGAAGATGAATTTACTGTCCGCTTCAAAGTAAAGCTAAATTTTGAGGACTAAAGTTTAGCTTAAATGGGTCTTGTTTCTGTATGTTAATGTTTGTTTTCTGTTACTAGTCTGTAGTTTCTTGATGTACCTCGTCTTTTGTTCGAGCGCTAAGCTAATGGACGACTTACAGTGCAGCCCACCCCACGCTTTCTTCACGCCTGGCAACCCCCGCAGCAGACGATCATCCTAATGGAGTTACATTAACCATGCATTACCTGCAGACGGCATAGTCTGCTTTCAACGTTAGTCAAATAAATTCCAATTGAAAAACCACACACAAAAGCACGCAAGCAATTATTGGTGTGACGTCACATGTTATTTTTTTACCGATTGCTAAGGTATCACATTATAATCACATTAGTCTTACCTTTATTTACCTAGACCGATTCCTACAATAGTAGCAACCTTCACTCACATGTAGCCTACAATATTAGCACCCTTTACTCACCTGTAGCTTACAGTCAAAGCACCCTTCACCTGTAGTCTACAATAGTAGCAACCTTCACTCACATGTAGCCTACAATATTAGCACCCTTCACTCACCTGTAGCGTACACTATTAACACCCTTCACTCACATGTAGCCTACAGCAGTGGCGTAGCGAGGTCGGGTGTCATCCGGCGCGGCACTTAATGGTGTCACCCTCCCCCCAGAGGCGTAGCGACCCTTCCCTGGGACAAACATTCAAATTTTCGATTTGCACAACCACCCCCTCAAATTTTCGATTTTTGCACCCCTTCTCAAATTTTCGATTTGCACCCCCCCCCCCAAGTTTTTCTCTATATATTTTGCTATTTTTTGCCTTGGTGTCACCCCTCTAAATGGTGTCACCCGGTGCGGTCCGCACCCCCCGTTCCCCCCCCCTACGCCTCTGGCCTACAGCGTTAGCACCAGTGTTTCTTCCAGACTTTTTTCTCCGGGGGGGGGGGGGGGGGGGGAGGCACTTGAAATTTTCGGGGGGGCGGTAGACTTTCTTCGGGGGGGGGGGGGGGCGGACACTGTTAAAAGTATATATTTTCTATATAAATTATATAAATTTCATTTCGTTCGGAGGGGGGGGGGGGCGGTAAAAAAATTTCGGGGGGGGGGGGGCTTCGCCCTCCCGAAGAGATGCCTGGAAGAAACTCTGATTAGCACCCTTCACCTGTAGCCTACACTATTAGCACCCCCTCCCCCCACCCCACGCATTTTTTTTAAGCAGCTATTTCTTTTAAATATTTTAGATCAGTCAATATTTTAAATTTGGTACACATAAGGATCATGTGTTATCTATCAACTACAATTTACAAAAAGCTTTACAACTTCTGGGATTTCAGATTTACCTCGTTTATAAATCTGAATGTCCACCTCCCCCGCCACCACTTCTTTTTATAAAAAGACTTTGGAGATCCACCACCCCCTAAGAACACTATTCTAACATAAACAAGCACTTACGCAAAAGTGAATCACGCAATACGATTGGTCGATGAGATTCAGAGCACGAATATAATCTTTGCATAAAGTTGTTTGATTGGACGCCGTGCTGCATAAGGTATGTGTGGTTTACGCGGCTAGGATTATTTAAATGAACACCAACGCGATAAGTCTCCCAAGGCCCATTAAATTCAAAACAAAATGTGTCTGGTGTTATTGAATACAATGTGTTTATAAAAAAAATTTATTGTGCGTTTTTGACAGACTTTATTAAACATTGGATGATTTTATGTTTTTAAAAAGTCTAAAACAATTGGTTTTGCATTTCATTTTATCAATGGAAATGTAACTTGTAAGTACACATAGTAGATTCTACATAGCATAACTAGACTCTAGATCTAGATCTAGGTCATAATTTAATTTCAAAATTTTACCAGCAAAGTTTTGAATAGACTTATTACTACAATCATAAGTGTTCAGCAGATCGACAACAGTTTCTGTACAGTCGACATTTGATTGTCTTACGAAAGTGAAACTTCAGGTTATAATTTAGTCTTGATAAAAATTAATAGAAATGTAACCTTAAAGTCTTAAAGGCAAAGATGTATTCTCAGGCAGTGTTTCTTTCAGACATTGTCTTCATTTGGGCGGGGGGGGGGGAGCAGAGGGGAGACATTGGTTAAAGTAGAGGCTGACATTTTTGTTCCACCCCACTCCCTCTCCGAAGAGACGCATGAAAGATACTATCTGCATATGCAACTTTTAATTTGATTCTAAAGATACTAGGCCTAAATTTCTGAATTTTAAAAAAATTATTTAAAAAATGACCAACTATTTGGCTTGAAAGTTTCATTTCAATCTGCGGCCTAACATAACTCTCTAGAGTTAGGGTATTCGGTTTCATTTCAGCTGAAAGTAATTTAAAAAAATAAATAGCGAGTATGACGACACCCAAGCATAAATATCTTTCGTCTGGAAGTGTGTTTTTTTTTTTTTTTTTTTTTTTTTTACTTCTGCAGTCTGGCTTTACGTTACTGAGCCCAGCGGCATAGCCAGCAATAGGTCACGTGAGGGGGTCAAATAGATTTCACTGTTTCTTTCTGTTATCTCTTCGGGTGATGGACCCCCCGATGGAGATAGAATTCATATATATATATATATATATATATATATATATATATATATATATATATATATATATATACACACACACTTTTATCAATGTCTCCTCCTTCCCCCCCCCCCAAAAAAAAGTTTCAAGTACTCCCATCTGAGAAAAAAGTCTGAACGAAATCCTGGTTATAAATATTACCCCCCCCCCTCCCAACACACACAATCGTGTCTACCCTACTGGTACAGTGTCCAGTAAACGGTTTTGAGATTGGTTTCTAGAGTCTTGTATTGAGGTTTGTTTATGTGAATGAATATTTTGAGTCTTCAGATTCCGTCGTTTGATACAGGCAGACGCCAAGCAGAAATTGGCAAGCCCGTATGTGGTGGACACACACACACACACACCGACCCATACACCTTAACCACACACTCAACGACCCACACTACGTGAACGCATCACGGACATATAAGAAGACGGAATGTCCGTGTCTACCAGCCAATGGGAGAACTGCTCCAGCATCTTGGAAGAAAATGTGCCTTGCTCCGAGACAACCGAGGTCAAGGCCGTAGACGTGGCACTGTTCATGTTTGCCTGTCTGCTGTCATCATTCGTTTGTACAGGCAATCTGCTGGCCATCTTGTCCATCTGGAGAACGCCGTCCCTGCGGACGTTGCCTAACCTGTATGTGGCAAGCCTGGCCGCAGCCGACTTTGTGGTGGGGTTGGGCACGGTGGTGCTGGCCCTCTTTCTGCTGCCGGCAGTGCGCGTGGAGCTCTTCTATCGGTACATCAACCTGTGCGTGCTAATGCACGGCACCCACCTCGGCATGATCGCAGTCTCCGTGCTGCACATGACCCTCATCTCCATCGACCGGTTCCTGTACATCAACCGGCCGTACGTGTACGAGCGTGTCGTTACCGTCCGGCTGGTTCTCGTCTGTCTGACCGGCATCTGGGTGTTCGGTCTGTTTTACAGCTTGGTGCCTCAGTTCACGTACAAGCCGTACGGTGTACGCCCAATATGTGACATCACCATGCGGCTGCCCATTGAGTACTTGTTCTTCACCAGCGCCAGCCTCTACTTCTCACTGGCCTCCATCATCATCCTCATGTACTCGCTCATCCTGCGCACGGCCTTCAGGCAGCAGAATGCTGTTGGCGCCAACCACGTGACACAAGTACAAGGTAAGTTACGTTACAGTAGGGGAGAATCCCAAAGGTAAGTTACGTTACAGTGAAGGGGGTCATCTCAAAGGTAAGTTACGTTACAGTGAAGGGGGTCATCTCAAAGGTAAGTTACGTTACAGTGAAGGGGGTCATCCCAAAGGTAAGTTACGTTACAGTGAAGGGGGTCATCCCCAAGGTAAGTTACCAGTAAAAAATGCCAGTAAAGGGTATCATACAATGATGTCGTCATTAAAAAAAATTCAAATAAAAAATAAAGCAGGCTCTTATAGAGCCCTATTTATACTTTTAATTTTAAAACATACAATTTTAGATTCTAGTTTAAATAAAAGCATACACATTCGGAAAAAAAAAGAAATGACTATTAAGATATAGGGGCCTACTGAGTTTCTTTCAGGCATCTCTTTACGCGCTTTTGTATCTGGGCTCCTCATAATCATATAATTCAGTCCGTGTCGCCCATTCCCCCCAAATACGCCACCCGCAAAAAAGTATTCGGGCATATATATATATATATATATATATATATATATATATATATATATATATATATATATATATATATATATATATATATATATATATACTAGCTGCATTACCGCTCTCCGCCACGGTAAATCTTTTTAAAATGTACCAACTTGGGAACAGAACAAAACTAAACACAACACAAACACAAAAGAAAACACAAACACAACACAAACGAAAACACAAACACAATGCAAAGAAACACAATGCCAATACAAATGAAAACACAAACGCAACACATTAACATAAAAGAAAAAACGAACGCAAATAAAAACACAAATGAAAACACAAACACAACACTCATAACATAAACGCAACTTAAATGCAAAAATAAACGCATAGTGCTCACAGTCTAGCCCGTGGCGCCAAATCGCACCCTGTCCGAGCACCGGCGGACGCGTCTGATTCAGTGAACGACTATAAAACCCCAAGCTTGTCCGCAAACTGAAAGATAGAATAATAATTAGTTAAATTAGTAAACAGTACGTATATTATTCCAAAAATAATTCCCTCTTGGAGATTTTGCATTCACATTTTTTTAATTAGCGTGAGTTGAATTTATTTTTAAATTACCCCCCTTGGCAAAATTACAAACAGTTTAATTAATTAGTTTTTTTCTACCCTATTATTATTATTAAAATGTATCCACTTTTCCTAGGAATCGAAACGAAAATCATATTTAACATTTTAATATACAATTTAATATGTTTTAGCAATTTGCGTGTATTTAATATATAGTGGCAACTATAAAATAAATTTAAGTAGTTATATAAACAAACCTTACTCTATTACTTATAATAAGACACTGCGATGCAAGTTAAAAGCACGAAACGTGATAATTTTACTTTTATGTTTCCAAAATCTATAGCGATGACGGAAGGAAGGACTGACACACTACCAGCCCGCTTATATTATAGTTATGTATGTATGTAACACATATCATGGTTACCAGTCAAGGGGGGGGGGGGATATATTATAAGTTATAATTTATTGGGTTGCAGCCCCTGTGGGACCGCAACTGTTGGTGTATTTTTTATTATTGTTCTGTGAGCGATTTTTACCCGTGTTCTATGCCAGGTGGCCTCTGGGATTCAGGGTAGTTCACACCTGTGTCGTGTCATGTGACTCTGGGTGGTTCACACCTGTGTCGTGTCATGTGACTCTGGGTGGTTCACACCTGTGTCGTGTCATGTGACTCTGGGTGGTTCACACCTGTGTCGTGTCATGTGACTCTGGGTAGTTCACACCTGTGTCGTGTCATGTGACTCTGGATGGTTCATACCTGTGTCCGTCTCATTCAGACCCAAGGCTGCTGTGGCCACGGACGGTGCCGTTGTCTATGATAAGTTGATCATGTAGACCTAATGAATTGCTACTGTTTGTTTTCTACAATCTTTCTACTGTTTTCTACTGTTTTCTACTGTCTACATAGCCGGTTGGCTTGGATGTTAATGTCAATAAATCCAGTAGTTGAAAACAACAGCATCGTTTCATTGTGTGCTATATCTCAGGGTCAGCCCATTTAAACACAACACCCCAGTGGGTAATAAATAAGCATCCCCATTGAGGCAGTGTTACATGTATGTATATATATATATATATATATATATACACGCACTTATAAATGAAAATATTTATTTCTGTCTGTAGGTCTCTTATGCATTAGGCCTACTGCACCGTTCGCTTGATCACTATGAAAATTTGGGAAGAATACTTCTAGGAAGACTTCTGTTATTTAAATTTTTTTTTCAAAGGGTCGGCGCCCTGGCTGTAAGTGTAATACCGCGTTTACACTTGCGACATGTATACTACACATTTCTAGGAAATAAAACTTCGCTATAGGGCCTAAGATAATAGGGGAGCCTACTTGCTTATGGCGAAGTTTTTTTTTTCTAGACATGTCTTAAGTGTAAACGCGGTATAAGGTTTGGCAAAGTTCATCAGCGGCTATTTTAATCTTACCACAAAAGATTCTGATACTTGTGCGTCCTGTACAGGGGGGTCATCAGTACTTGATTCAACGGTCAACCTCAGAGTTTCTTTCAGGCTTGATAGTTTGCCTCAAAATGTGTCGTTAAATAAATTTAAAAAGTTTTTGATTTAAAAAAAAATCAGATTTATATGCATTAGATGTAAAGACACATCCTAACATATGACATTATAATGATAGTATTGGTTGGTTTGAATATAAAGGTTATTTATTATCTGCTCCTGTGTGAGTTTATCAAAATGATAGATGAAAGATCAAAGCCCTTATTGCTAGGTGACATACTGATGTGCTATTTTATTACCACAATTATTTCTACAGGTGAAAACCAAGCTTCTAGAAAAAGTACACTAAAGGGTGTCAAATTTTTCATGATTGTCTTTGGGGTGTTTTTTGTCTGCCTGACCCCCGTGGTGGTCTGCCTGGGATTTGACTACTACTCCTACGTGCCAGGGCCCATCTACCGGTTCCTCAATTTGGTTGCTCTCACCAACTCGGGCATGAACTTCGTCATCCTAGCAATCCTAAACAAGCAATTCAGACGAGCGCTTTTCAAGATATTATGTCCATGTGGGGGCAGCAGAAAATCGTTTGGATCGTCATCTCCTTTGTGAAAGATTAACAATATTCAGGTGTTGCAGTGACTTGAGTCTAGTCACAATTTTTTAAAGTCTGGCCTCAGCCTAACAGTACCATAAAATATACAATTGAATATCTGATTTTTATTGTTAGGGTCTAACTTTTGCTACCTGTTTGTATCAAAAGTCTAACTTTTGCTACCTGTCTGTATCAAAAGTCCAACTTTTGCTACCTGTTTGTATCAAAAGTCTAACTTTTGCTACCTGTTTGTATCAAAAGTCTAACTTTTGCTACCTGTCTGTATCAAAAGTCTAACTTTTGCTACCTGTTTGTATCAAAAGTCTAACTTTTGCTACCTGTTTGTATCAAAAGTCTAACTATTGCTACCTGTTTGTATCAAAACTTTTGCTACCTGTTTGTATCAAAACTTTTGCTACCTGTTTGTATCAAAAGTCTAACTTTTGCTACCTGTTTGTATCAAAAGTCTAACTTTTGCTACCTGTTTGTATCAAAAGTCCAACTTTTGCTACCTGTTTGTATAAAAAATCCAACTCTAAATCCTGATAGAAAATCAAGCAAAGTGAAAGATGTATTCGTCTGGTGAAAGTGATTAAAAAAAATTAACAATGTTTCGTGATTTGATTATTTACAATACATCATAGCACTTTATTTTTGTAAAAAATTAAGTTGATGTCATTGTCTATGTATAGTATAATTAATGTTGTCCCACAAAAAATGACTAAAAAATTAATGTAGATGTTCAAGTGGTGTACATTCTACAAAGGCTACACAGCTAAGCACCCTTCGTTCAGCCGATCATCTTTCATATCATTCAGTTCTTTCAAATCTTGCTAGCTACATTTCATATATACATTATATAAAACATGTACCAAATCAGTTGATGACATTTACAAATTGATGTACAATAAAAAAACTTAGTAAGGATAAGCTGAAACTGAAATATGTATAATAAATGTAGTTTGATACTGTATATGACGTCTGTAGTTGTCATATGATTTTGCCCGGACCATTATTCTATAAGTAGAACTGTCTTGTAGAGGCTCCATGGTGTATACAATACCTCGACCCTCATCTGTCTTGATGGAGAACTCTAGGTGGGGGTCATTCTTTAGGATGGTGAACATTGTCTGGGGACAGAAAGGGTCATTCTCAGAGCCAATGACACATGACATTTACCAGGGTCATTCTCAGAGCCAATGACACATGGCATTTACCAGGATAATTGTCAGGGCAAATGACACATGACATTTACCAGGGTCATTCTCAGAGCCAATGACACATGACATTTACCAGGATCATTATCAGGGCAAATGACACATGGCATTTACCAGGATCATCATCAGGGCAAATGACACATGGCATTTACCAGGATCATCATCAGGGCAAATGACACATGGCATTTACCAGGATCATTATCAGGGCAAATGACACATGGCATTTACCAGGATCATTGTCAGGGCAAATGGCATTTACCAGGATCATTTTCAGGGCAAATGACACATAGCATTTACCAGGATCATTGTCAGGGCAAATGACACATGACATTTACAAGGATTGTTCTTAAAAACATTTATCAAAAGGAATGTTCTTAGAGAAACAGGTGGCAATACAATGTAACTGACCTGAGGCAGGTATTGGTCATGCTGATTGTATGCTGTCAACCTAATCAAATCCTGTCTTGCTTGACTTCCCCCAGGAAGAGCTAAAGTTTTAAACTCTATGATATCTGCATATTTAGCTCCAGGAGGACAGGGGATGGTTGGGTTGACACACTCTAACACACAGAATCTGAGGGGAAAATTCTCATCAAGTTTTGACAACAGAGATTAGTTTAAAAGTTCAGTTGGGAAAACTTGTTTTTAATTTAAATACTAATTTAGAAGGGGTAACAATCAGAAAAGATGGTAGTGCTTATTTTGGGGAAGGATAGAGAAAATATGCAACATGCTTAGATGCGTTCACATCATATTAAGGAGCATATATATAAGCACTTGCTTATTTCCTCTACAATATGACAAAATTGTCTGAGGAAAACCAAAAAAAACTTCTACATAAAAAATAGATCTATATGTCAAAAGATACACTTTACATTAATTCAGTTAAAATTCTTAATATTTGTTCTAATTTGCCCTTAGACTAACCCTAGTCTTAACCCATAAGCCTAACCCAATTCTGAGTTAGATCTAATGCATTAAAACAATGCCACAAAAGACCCACCCCCCCCCAATTAAGCGGATATAAGCACTTCCATAAAAGATGACATTGAAGTACTCAAATAAGGTTTACTTGGTAGTTGGGTCCCTTGCATAATCGGGTGGACAAGGTATATCTATACAGGTGTAGGATCCTCTTTGGTTGAAACACATTTTCTCAGGCCCACAGTCTATTTCATCTCTAACACACTCATTGACATCTGGAGAAAACAGCTCAGTTATTACCACTGGTACAATGGCAAGAATTACTTCTTTGTTAAAACATTACCACTGGTACAATGGCAAGAATTACTTTGTTAAAACATTACCACTGGTACAACAATGGCAAGAATTACTTTGTTAAGACATTACCACTGGTACAATGTCTAGAATATTTCTTTTTTACAAGATTTTATTTAACGTGCTTTCTCTCTCAATCATGCCTCGTCATTGATTGAAAAGAACATGAGAAATTTTGACCACTTCTACAACCTATTTCTTTTAAATTAGGTACATGGGTAAAGATCAAATGACAATGTGATGTGACATAAAATTTTACTTCATTGGATGCTTAATTTTTAAAAATTAATTAAAATTTCTTTTATAAAGTACAATTTTCCACGCTCTTCTATGCACATTGTTTGTGTTCATTATTGCCCTATTGTTTTTACTTATACTATTCTATGTGTTAAAAATGTTAAAGTAGGCGCACTGAAAAAATTTCTTAAAAACATTTAAACAACAAGCTTTTACATAACATTATTAATAATGCACTAAGAAGCGGAAAGTAACGATTTTCTTAAAATATCTAATAATGAACAACTATTTAGATAACTATCAAGAAAATAGTGGGCTGCTATATTACATATTGAAATCCTTTACTAGAATTTAATTTTTAAAAGCAACCCATGCTTGTTTGTTATTTAAACAGTAGTTCATAATTACATGTTTATAGGCACACACTTTCTTCCCTTTAGTGCATATTATATAAAAGCTTGTCATTATAAATATTTGTTAGGTCTTTAAAAAAAATTGCCACTGGTACAAAAAAATGGCAAACATTAAAATAGCTTAAGGTAACAAAAAGTGAGTTAAAGTAATTTAAACTAAATGAAAATGATGTATCTGACCTTTACAGGAATAACCATCAGAGTCAAGCATGTACCCTTGTGGACAGGAACATTTGTAGCTTCCCCTTGTATTTGTACAGTTGTGCTGACACAGTGACCTCCCTTCTGCACATTCATCAAGATCTAGAGGTCAAGATGTTGAAAATTAGCTGGACAACCCAAGCAATTATTTGAGTAAAATCTTCCCAAACACATGAAACAACATAAAAAAAATCCAGGGAGTAAAATCTTGGAACAAATCTAAAGCCATCTGTAGCTGGTGTGTCAGGACTGTGTACGTTGGCACAAAAAAAAACAAAGCTCATCTAACAAAAACACTCAAATCTAGTGCTGGTTTACAGTGCTGTTCATTAACCCACTAAACAATCTCCATAAAGAAAAGATTGAGAAGAACAAACCTGATAAGACATTTCAATCACTCAAACTTGTTCAAACACACCAACATACACAAGAAGCAGACATTGAATCACCTATGCACTGTGACTTGTTCAGAGGGTCTTGTGTGTACCCTTCTTGGCAAAGATCAAGACTTCTGCGAAACCTGGACTTCCAGCGCTTAGGGCGAGGTGTTGGAAGGTAATATTTCTCATTACTCGGAGTGGTTAGTTTGGGCTGAGCTCTGTAGTATTCAGTGTCTTGGTCTCTTCTCTCTAGAGCAGAAAAGCCTTCATTTCTTCTGTCTTCAGAGATGAGAACAGGGCCACTCTCTTTAACCACAGGACGTCTTCTGATCAGTTTTCTATTTCTGTCTCTGGTCTCTGAGGTTAGTGCTAGGGTCCCAGAGTGTCTGAAACCTTCTCTGGGAGTGTGAATTTTTTGCTCAGAAATTAAATCATCAATGTTCGACTGCTCTGCTGGGAGGACCCGACCTGGCTCAAGAAACTCCAGACCTAGATAACCACACAGAACAATGGCCCAATTAGCAGTGTCTCAGTCAGTGGTTCAACACCTGTCTCAGTCAGTGGTTCAACACCTGTCTCAGTCAGTGGTTCAACACCTGTCTCAGTCAGTGGTTCAACACCTGTCTCAGTCAGTGGTTCAACACCTGTCTCAGTCAATGGTTCAACACCTGTCTCAGTGGTTCAACACCTTTCTAGGTCAGTGGTTCAACACCTGTCTCAGTCAGTGGTTCAACACCTGTCTCAGTCAGTGGTTCAACACCTGTCTCAGTGGTTCAACACCTGTCTCAGTCAGTGGTTCAACACCTGTCTCAGTCAGTGGTTCAACACCTGTCTTGTTTCTTCTATTGTTTTTAACCAACAAAACATTGAACGTTGTGTCCTCTAGTGTTGTGTCTTCTATCTGCACACACAACTTCTGAACATGAAGGTTACAACACATGTTTATAACATGAAATATTGAAACATGCCATGCAGTAATACAGATCTGGCACAATCCAGAGGTTCTGTGCTTGTCCACTGAAAGATTTTCAGTAAGTGACAGGCTACAAGAAGCACACACTGTAAGCACACATCTATTTAGATTCACTACTCAAGCCAAACCCAACAATGCCAACACACATTCAAGAAATAGAATATCATTTTCCAAGAAATTAGAACAAGCCAGTAATTTTGGAATTTGCTTAAAAACTTCAACATTTGATAAAACTACTGACTATAAATCAAAAAATGTTGTGTCTTAACATCTCGTTTTATTATCATTTAATTATCATCAATTATATTCTAGAGGTTAATTTCACAAAAGAAGCCTAGTTCCATTTTGGAAAAAGATTGAAGAGACAAAATCTAGGGTTAAAACAAGGATCAGCACTCTAACCAGCACAAGATTTCCTGTCTGCAAGCTGAGTTTGTCCAGGTGGACACAAACATTCATAGCTGCCCCAAGTATTGCGACAGATATAACTGCAGACGCGAGGATTCTCAACACACTCATCCACATCTGAAACAAAACAATGTATCCTGACCTAGTATTAGGCACTGTTTTTTACTAGACCAACATATAAACCCTGGTATTTTGTTCACATCTGAGACATTCTATATCCAAATATCAACAGGACTGCAGTAACAAGGAAATCAACAAGTTTCATTTATGTAAGCCCTGCTGGGGGGGGGGGGGGGGGGATACCTAATATCTACCCTTCTAGGCTTAATCTAACTAACTACCGTCCGGTCAGTGCAAGCCCGGCTAAACCCAGGCTGGTTAATAACCTAACCTTAGTCTAAATTAAAAACAAAAAAAACTTTTAACAATTTAATAAAATTTATTGCATGGAACCAAAATTATATAAATAAAAAATAGATTAACAAAACAGAACTTTAACGTAACAAAACACTGTAACAAAACAAACTTTTTACAGCAAAGAAAACATTACGTTTGACCATTTGCTGGTGTTGCACCGACTTATGATGTCTAGGATGGTCCAGGCCCTGACACACAGAAACCTCCCTTCATCCATTCTCGACATCCAAAAGTCCACACCAAACAAAACACAACGTACAACCACTACGTACAATACATTACCTAGAGGACATTACGTACAAAACAATATATACAAAACAAACTTTTTACACAAAACAATTCATATATAACAAAACACCCAGCCAAGTTGCCCAAGCAACCTCACTCCACGCGTGAGGTGCGCCACGCGCCCACACAGAAACCTGACCCGACCTACATCTCGGCGCGGGTCAAAAAAAGGAAGAAAATCCTCCGAGCGGCCAATTTATACTGACCGCTTCGGGCGGGGACCCCGTGGCCATTCCCCATTGGACCACCATGCACTCAGATTCGCACCAAATAAATTAATACAAAATAATCCATTCACCCGCTCACATTTATATACACAGGAATATTTTCAATCCCTTTTGTGAAAAAAATACAATCCAACCATTTCTCAAATATGGTTTAAATTTTTTGGGGTGACTCCCAGCACCACAGAATTGTGCTATTGTCTTTAATTTGTAAGGATATTACAACTACTAGGGTAGAATTGAGTCATGACATTACAACTACTAGGGTAGAATTGAATCAACTTATGTAGGGTAGACAGTGGTCAAGACAGACAGCCACCAGCTAACATCATAGTCGTAACCCATATAGAGGTCAACATCAGATGGTTTCATGGGGTTGGCAATGTTGAACATCAGATGGTTTCATGGGGTTGGCAATGTTGAACATCAGATGGTTTCATGGGGTTGGCAATGTTGATGGAGTAGATATTAATTGAGTTATGAGCTGGGCATGAAAGGACCTGTCTGTAGATACACCTGGGACTGTCTGTAGACATACCTGGGAGTGTCTGTAGACATACCTGGGAGTGTCTGTAGACATACCGTGGACTGTCTGTAGACATACCTGGGACTGTCTGTAGACATACCTGGGAGTGTCTGTAGACATACCTGGGACTGTCTGTAGACATACCTGGGAGTGTCTGTAGACATACCTGGGACTGTCTGTAGACATACCTGGGAGTGTCTGTAGACATACCTGGGACTGTCTGTAGACATACCTGGGACTGTCTGTAGACATACCTGGGACTGTCTGTAGACATACCTGGGAGTGTCTGTAGACATACCTGGGAGTGTCTGTAGACACACCTGGGAGTGTCTGTCATACTATACGTGTCAACTGGTTATGCGCTATTGAGGCCATTGACTCGGATTTCAGCCTGCTTTTCTTTTTGGATTAGCTTCCATAGCCTTTGTCCAACCAAGAACAAACTACAAGGCAGCAGTTTGATTTTGAAGTTGTCTCTCCTAGACGAGTGGCTGTCCCAAGCTAACAAGCCTCATTTGCCAGAGTGTTTGAACTCGAGACTTTTCGGTTAAACAACCATGAGCTTTACTGACTTGACCACGTCGACCCATCATTCCAATCAATTTCAAACAATTTGCTGCTAAGTGAGGCCTCAGCTGAGAGGTTTGTCAAAGATTCCACCTAGAACCTTTATTGTCACTATCTTTGTCCAAAGTGAATGTCCAAACCAATCATGTGACGGATGAAATCACTGTTAGGTCATCACCGCAGACTCCCAATATCACCAATATTATTTTGGTGGACTTTAATGTGTTCAGAGTTTAGAAGTGAGTGTTATGAAATGTCATTGAGTAGAATGTTATCCAATTTAGTTAATAACACAAGTCATATCTGATGATTCACTAGGCAGGAACACATTGTGCCTTCCCAAAAACTGATGAACCTAGTTCAAATACCATAGGGAGGGACCAAACTGATTCTGATAAGAAAAAGTTGGACGTTGCGTAAGGTGGAGCTAGATGGGAGACTGAGAGAATTTTCAAAATGAAAGTGGGAGACATATTTAAATTATTTTGCAAATCGTTTCACTTGTTTACATTTTGGTGTGATACTGATAAGATTTTTGTACCCTTAAGTCTTAGATCTTTGTTTAAAACTATTAGTTCACGCATTAGCATTAATGATCATCCCAGTTGAAGTACAAGTTTTATTTTCTCTGCCTTTTGGCCTGTTAGAATTTTGTTATTTAATAATGTAGTTAAATATGTCTTTATTGTGTTAATTTCATTGCATCGTCGATTGTGGTCAGCCTACTTTTAGTTGGGTTTTCTTTTAGCACATTTTTTGTTAGAGTTCAATTTTTAACAGATCAATAATAAAGTACCACATAGCTCCTCTAGGTTTTGATCTCTTTATTTAGGTTAGCCTAGTTTAATTTGGTTTGCTCAGGTTTTATAAACTTCCTTGTCATTATGAAGATGTACAGACATAACAGAATGCTAGGCCTATAACTCTAATGAGTTGACAGAAAAAAACTATAATTTGTAAGCTATAACTCTAATGAGTTGACAAAAAAAACTATAATTTGTAAGCTATAACTCTAATGAGTTGACAGAAAAAAGCTATAATTTTTAAGCAAATCATTTTCTTCTGCACATCATTAACAATATTTTTAGTGTCGCACCAAATAAGTGGTATAGACTATTAATAATTTTTTACATTTAAATGTGACGTTGATTTTTTACTTATTGCAATATGTTCAATTGTCATAATAATGTATTGGTCTATGCTAAAAAAATAGGTTGAACTCACCAAGACAGCTAAGGCCAATGCCGCGAAACTTGAACCCCTCAGGACACTCACACCTGTAGGAGCCCTCTGTGTTGACACACCTCTGGTTGTAGTAGCAGCTGTTTTGTGACCTGCACTCATCAATGTCTGCCAAAATTAAACAAGTTCATACAAATACATTTTTAATTGAAATAATGGTAGAAATTGCATTTTTAAATGAATATAAGTTTTTTAATTTTTTCCCCGAATTATTAAGCTATTTTAACCTCCTACATAATGAACTTAAGCCATGTTCCTGTTTAATGCTTTTTGCTCCATTTTTGGAGTGGATATTTTAAAATAATATTTTTACAAAGTGCCATGGTAAAATTGTGTTTAGGCCCAGACTATAGAAGTTAGTGAACACTTAAGAGCTGACCTTGACATTGGCCAGAAGCTGTGCGCCTGTACCCAGCAGGACAAGACCTGATACAACTGAAGCTGCCATCACTGTTGACACACTCTTCTTGTGGCTTGCAGCTGTTTCTCACTTCTACACACTCATTGATATCTGTCAATACCAACACATTTAATCTGTTCTACACACTCATTGATATCTGTCAATACATTTAATCTGTTCTACACACTCATTGATATCTGTCAATACATTTAATCTGTTCTACACACTCATTGATATCTGTCAATACATTTAATCTGTTCTACACACTCATTGATATCTGTCAACACATTTAATCTGTTCTACACACTCATTGATATCTGTCAACACATTTAATCTGTTCTACACACTCATTGATATCTGTCAATACCAACACATTTAATCTGTTCTACACACTCATTGATATCTGTCAATACATTTAATCTGTTCTACACACTCATTGATATCTGTCAACACATTTGATCTGTTCTACACACTCATTGATATCTGTCAATACATTTAATCTGTTCTACACACTCATTGATATCTGTCAACACATTTAATCTGTTCTACACACTCATTGATATCTGTCAACACATTTAATCTGTTCTACACACTCATTGATATCTGTCAACACATTTCATCTGTTCTACACACTCATTGATATCTGTCAATACCAACACATTTAATCTGTTCTACACACTCATTGATATCTGTCAATACATTTAATCTGTTCTACACACTCATTGATATCTGTCAACACATTTAATCTGTTCTACACACTCATTGATATCTGTCAACACATTTAATCTGTTCTACACACTCATTGATATCTGTCAACACATTTAATCTGTTCTACACACTCATTGATATCTGTCAATACCAACACATTTAATCTGTTCTACACACTCATTGATATCTGTCAATACATTTAATCTGTTCTACACACTCATTGATATCTGTCAACACATTTAATCTGTTCTACACACTCATTGATATCTGTCAGCACATTCAATCTGTTCTACACACTCATTGATATCTGTCAATACCAACACATTTAATCTGTTCTACACACTCATTGATATCTGTCAACACATTTAATCTGTTCTACACACTCATTGATATCTGTCAACACATTTAATCTGTTCTACACACTCATTGATATCTGTCAATACCAACACATTTAATCTGTTCTACACACTCATTGATATCTGTCAACACATTTAATCTGTTCTACACACTCATTGATATCTGTCAACACATTTAATCTGTTCTACACACTCATTGATATCTGTCAATACCAACACATTTAATCTGTTCTACACACTCATTGATATCTGTCAACACATTTAATCTGTTCTACACACTCATTGATATCTGTCAGTACATTCAATCTGTTCTACACACTCATTGATATCTGTCAACACATTTAATCTGTTCTACACACTCATTGATATCTGTCAACACATTTAATCTGTTCTACACACTCATTGATATCTGTCAACACATTTAATCTGTTCTACACACTCATTGATATCTGTCAACACATTTAATCTGTTCTACACACTCATTGATATCTGTCAACACATTTAATCTGTTCTACACACTCATTGATATCTGTCAACACATTCAATCTGTTCTACACACTCATTGATATCTGTCAACACATTCAATCTGTTCTACACACTCATTGATATCTGTCAACACATTTAATCTGTTCTACACACTCATTGATATCTGTCAATACCAACACATTTAATCTGTTCTACACACTCATTGATATCTGTCAACACATTTAATCTGTTCTACACACTCATTGATATCTGTCAATACCAACACATTTAATCTTTTCTACACACTCATTGATATCTGTCAACACATTTAATCTGTTCTACACACTCATTGATATCTGTCAACACATTTAATCTGTTCTACACACTCATTGATATCTGTCAATACCAACACATTTAATCTGTTCTACACACTCATTGATATCTCTCAACACATTTAATCTGTTCTACACACTCATTGATATCTGTCAACACATTTAATCTGTTCTACACACTCATTGATATCTGTCAATACCAACACATTTAATCTGTTCTACACACTCATTGATATCTGTCAACACATTTAATCTGTTCTACACACTCATTGATATCTGTCAATATATTTAATCTGTTCTACACACTCATTGATATCTGTCAATACCAACACATTTAATCTTTTCTACACACTCATTGATATCTGTCAACACATTCAATCTGTTCTACACACTCATTGATATCTGTCAACACATTTAATCTGTTCTACACACTCATTGATATCTGTCAATACCAACACATTTAATCTGTTCTACACACTCATTGATATCTGTCAACACATTTAATCTGTTCTACACACTCATTGATATCTGTCAACACATTTAATCTGTTCTACACACTCATTGATATCTGTCAGTACATTTAATCTGTTCTACACACTCATTGATATCTGTCAACACATTCAATCTGTTCTACACACTCATTGATATCTGTCAACACATTCAATCTGTTCTACACACTCATTGATATCTGTCAATACCAACACATTTAATCTGTTCTACACACTCATTGATATCTGTCAACACATTTAATCTGTTCTACACACTCATTGATATCTGTCAATACCAACACATTTAATCTGTTCTACACACTCATTGATATCTGTCAATATATTTAATCTGTTCTACACACTCATTGATATCTGTCAACACATTTAATCTGTTCTACACACTCATTGATATCTGTCAACACATTTAATCTGTTCTACACACTCATTGATATCTGTCAATACCAACACATTTAATCTTTTCTACACACTCATTGATATCTGTCAACACATTTAATCTGTTCTACACACTCATTGATATCTGTCAATACCAACACATTTAATCTTTTCTACACACTCATTGATATCTGTCAACACATTTAATCTGTTCTACACACTCATTGATATCTGTCAACACATTTAATCTGTTCTACACACTCATTGATATCTGTCAATACCAACACATTTAATCTGTTCTACACACTCATTGATATCTGTCAACACATTTAATCTGTTCTACACACTCATTGATATCTGTCAACACATTTAATCTGTTCTACACACTCATTGATATCTGTCAATACCAACACATTTAATCTGTTCTACACACTCATTGATATCTGTCAACACATTTAATCTTTTCTACACACTCATTGATATCTGTCAACACATTCAATCTGTTCTACACACTCATTGATATCTGTCAACACATTTAATCTGTTCTACACACTCATTGATATCTGTCAATACCAACACATTCAATCTGTTCTACACACTCATTGATATCTGTCAATATATTTAATCTGTTCTACACACTCATTGATATCTGTCAATACCAACACATTCAATCTGTTCTACACACTCATTGATATCTGTCAACACATTTAATCTGTTCTACACACTCATTGATATCTGTCAATACCAACACATTCAATCTGTTCTACACACTCATTGATATCTGTCAACACATTTAATCTGTTCTACACACTCATTGATATCTGTCAATACCAACACATTTAATCTTTTCTACACACTCATTGATATCTGTCAGTACATTTAATCTGTTCTACACACTCATTGATATCTGTCAACACATTTAATCTGTTCTACACACTCATTGATATCTGTCAACACATTTAATCTGTTCTACACACTCATTGATATCTGTCAACACATTCAATCTGTTCTACACACTCATTGATATCTGTCAACACATTTAATCTGTTCTACACACTCATTGATATCTGTCAACACATTCAATCTGTTCTACACACTCATTGATATCTGTCAACACATTTAATCTGTTCTACACACTCATTGATATCTGTCAATACCAACACATTTAATCTGTTCTACACACTCATTGATATCTGTCAATATATTTAATCTGTTCTACACACTCATTGATATCTGTCAATACCAACACATTTAATCTGTTCTACACACTCATTGATATCTGTCAACACATTTAATCTGTTCTACACACTCATTGATATCTGTCAATATATTTAATCTGTTCTACACACTCATTGATATCTGTCAATATATTTAATCTGTTCTACACACTCATTGATATCTGTCAATACCAACACATTCAATCTGTTCTACACACTCATTGATATCTGTCAACACATTTAATCTGTTCTACACACTCATTGATATCTGTCAACACATTTAATCTGTTCTACACACTCATTGATATCTGTCAATATATTTAATCTGTTCTACACACTCATTGATATCTGTCAATATATTTAATCTGTTCTACACACTCATTGATATCTGTCAATACCAACACATTTAATCTGTTCTACACACGCATTGATATCTGTCAACACATTTAATCTGTTCTACACACTCATTGATATCTGTCAATACCAACACATTTAATCTGTTCTACACACTCATTGATATCTGTCAACACATTTAATCTGTTCTACACACTCATTGATATCTGTCAACACATTTAATCTGTTCTACACACTCATTGATATCTGTCAATACCAACACATTTAATCTGTTCTACACACTCATTGATATCTGTCAATACCAACACATTTAATCTGTTCTACACACTCATTGATATCTGTCAACACATTTAATCTGTTCTACACACTCATTGATATCTGTCAACACATTTAATCTGTTCTACACACTCATTGATATCTGTCAACACATTTAATCTGTTCTACACACTCATTGATATCTGTCAATACCAACACATTCAATCTGTTCTACACACTCATTGATATCTGTCAATATATTTAATCTGTTCTACACACTCATTGATATCTGTCAATACCAACACATTCAATCTGTTCTACACACTCATTGATATCTGTCAACACATTTAATCTGTTCTACACACTCATTGATATCTGTCAATACCAACACATTTAATCTTTTCTACACACTCATTGATATCTGTCAGTACATTTAATCTGTTCTACACACTCATTGATATCTGTCAACACATTTAATCTGTTCTACACACTCATTGATATCTGTCAACACATTTAATCTGTTCTACACACTCATTGATATCTGTCAATACCAACACATTTAATCTTTTCTACACACTCATTGATATCTGTCAACACATTCAATCTGTTCTACACACTCATTGATATCTGTCAACACATTTAATCTGTTCTACACACTCATTGATATCTGTCAACACATTCAATCTGTTCTACACACTCATTGATATCTGTCAACACATTTAATCTGTTCTACACACTCATTGATATCGGTCAATACCAACACATTTAATCTTTTCTACACACTCATTGATATCTGTCAACACATTTAATCTGTTCTACACACTCATTGATATCTGTCAATACCAACACATTTAATCTTTTCTACACACTCATTGATATCTGTCAACACATTTAATCTGTTTTACACACTCATTGATATCTGTCAACACATTTAATCTGTTCTACACACTCATTGATATCTGTCAACACATTTAATCTGTTCTACACACTCATTGATATCTGTCAATACCAACTTATTTAATCTGTTCTACACACTCATTGATATCTGTCAACACATTTAATCTGTTCTACACACTCATTGATATCTGTCAACACATTTAATCTGTTCTACACACTCATTGATATCTGTCAACACATTTAATCTGTTCTACACACTCATTGATATCTGTCAATACCAACACATTCAATCTGTTCTACACACTCATTGATATCTGTCAATATATTTAATCTGTTCTACACACTCATTGATATCTGTCAATACCAACACATTCAATCTGTTCTACACACTCATTGATATCTGTCAACACATTTAATCTGTTCTACACACTCATTGATATCTGTCAATACCAACACATTTAATCTTTTCTACACACTCATTGATATCTGTCAGTACATTTAATCTGTTCTACACACTCATTGATATCTGTCAACACATTTAATCTGTTCTACACACTCATTGATATCTGTCAACACATTTAATCTGTTCTACACACTCATTGATATCTGTCAACACATTCAATCTGTTCTACACACTCATTGATATCTGTCAACACATTTAATCTGTTCTACACACTCATTGATATCTGTCAACACATTCAATCTGTTCTACACACTCATTGATATCTGTCAACACATTTAATCTGTTCTACACACTCATTGATATCTGTCAATACCAACACATTTAATCTTTTCTACACACTCATTGATATCTGTCAACACATTTAATCTGTTCTACACACTCATTGATATCTGTCAATACCAACACATTTAATCTTTTCTACACACTCATTGATATCTGTCAATACCAACACATTTAATCTGTTCCACACACTCATTGATATCTGTCAGTACATTCAATCTGTTCTACACACTCATTGATATCTGTCAACACATTTAATCTGTTCTACACACTCATTGATATCTGTCAACACATTTAATCTGTTCTACACACTCATTGATATCTGTCAATACCAACACATTTAATCTGTTCTCACTTCTAAAGACCTAATGCACGTGTATTTCTTTTAGCATGTTAATAATTAGTATATTTTAAATAATGGTGTAATTTTTAAAACAATTCCTTTTAGTTCTAATATTATTTTAAAATAATCTGTAAATAATCATAGTTTTAACCCTTTACCGTCCGGGCTCTGAATGTTTTCTTGATGTACAAACCAGCAATGGGACATTGTTCATTTTAATTAATAGCTCATAATAAATAAATTTAAAAATTCACACGCATTTAAAAATTAAAACAAAATGTAATTCACAGAGAAAAATGAATGCATTACTTTAAATTACAATGCTTTAAGCATTTTAATTCAAAATAAGCAATATCAAACTTAAATAGAGAAAAACAAAAGCCGTACAAAAAACAGGCAATATGGCCGCATAGCAATGTACTGCATAAGAAAAATCTCAGGCTGAACAGTTTGCATAGGACAGTAAAGGGTTAATAAGTCTCAAACAGAATAAACTTGTCCTGTTTATTTACAGATTATTGTTAGCATTTTGGATGGTTGTGAATATTTTTTAATGACAAAAATTAGAATTTAAAATGTATGATCATTCTACTCTGCCAAATTAGACAAATCAGACAATCAAGGTTGAATGAAAATGTTTGCCATGATGTTACCTCTACACACTCGACCATTGAGTAACTTGTAGCCAGCTGGACATGAGCAAACAAAACTGCCTTGAGTATTTGTACATCGGTGGGAACATGCTGAGCTGCCCTCTTCACATTCATCCACATCTTTAAAAGTAAAATACACTTCACAATAATTATCTTTTAAAGTAAATTTCATTTCACAATAATTATCTTTAAATAAAAAGTTCACATCAACATCTTTAAAAGTAAAATACACATTACAATAATTATCTTTAAATAAAAAGTTCACTTTCATCATTATCTTTGAAATAAAAAAATTCACGGCTATCTATCATTTTTATCAATGTCTTTAAATTGTGAGAACTAATATGTTGAAGGTGCTGAGATACCTACCAATACATAAATTGTGAGTTCTAATAAGAAGGTGCTGAGATAACTAGTATGAAGGTGCTGAGATAACTAGTATGAAGGTGCTGAGATAACTAGTATGAAGGTGCTGAGATACCTAGTATGAAGGTGCTGAGATACCTACCGATACATCTTCCCTTTTCTGCCAGCCTGTACCCTGGCAGACAGGAACATCTGTGGCCACCCACCAGATTTTCACATGTGTGTTCACATACTTCAGGGACAGAATCACATTCATTGATATCTGAAACAGTGAAAGCACATTCATTGATATCTGAAACAGTGAAAGCACATTCAGTGATATCTGAAACAGTGAAAGCACATTCAGTGATATCTGAAACAGTGAAAGCACATTCATTGATATCTGAAACAGTGAAAGCACATTCATTGATATCTGAAACAGTGAAAGCACATTCATTGATATCTGAAACAGTGAAAGCACATTCATTGATATCTGAAACAGTGAAAGCACATTCAGTGATATCTGAAACAGTGAAAGCACATTCATTGATATCTGAAACAGTGAAAGCACATTCATTGATATCTGAAACAGTGAAAGCACATTCAGTGATATCTGAAACAGTGAAAGCACATTCAGTGATATCTGAAACAGTGAAAGCACATTCATTGATATCTGAAACAGTGAAAGCACATTCAGTGATATCTGAAACAGTGAAAGCACATTCAGTGATATCTGAAACAGTGAAAGCACATTCATTGATATCTGAAACAGTGAAAGCACATTCAGTGATATCTGAAACAGTGAAAGCACTTTCAGTGATAGCTGAAACAGTGAAACCTCAATAATTGATGCACCAAAATGTATTTATTAGCAACCCACCAATGCACCAAAATGTATTTATTAGCAACCCACCAATGCACCTGTCACCATTTTCTTCTGGCATGAACCCTCCAGAGCAGGCATTGACACACCTAAATGAACCAGGGGTATTTATACATTCCATGCTAGGCCCACAGTCTGTTGATGCTTGAGCGCATTCATTTATATCTACAGAAAAAAAACAATACAGCATTTCTTTTACATAGCTAACAGTAAAATAGAAACAGCATTTCTTTTGACCAAAACTTACATTAAAATGACATATGATAGTAGTTTTCACAAGTAATGTAACATTGTTGGCCAAATACTTGAGCATTTAGATTAAGAAATAAAATACAATTTAACACGTTTCTTTTATTGGGACAGGGTGGCTGGGCACATTGTACAGCTTCTAACCCAAAAGCTTCAAGTCTGTAGGGTGTCCCTGCTCACCCACCTTTGATGGGTATCTAACTCATGTTAGGGAAAGCAAAGGAGGTTGGGCAAAGTGCTGACCACACTAGCTCAAGATCCAGATGCACTACTTTATCTGACCCAAGGACCATCCAGTCTGAATGGGTTGTTTTTTATAAGATTTGATTTAACTTGCTTCTTTGTTATGGATCAAAACTGGCGTGCAAAATTTCAAACACTTTTATCGGACCAAAAATTTCTCTGAAACTTGGAATGTGGGTCAAGATCAGAGGAGAATGCAATCTGACAAAAAATTTTACTTGGTGGATGCTTAATTAATTTTTAAAGAATTACTTAAAATATCCTTTTAAAAGTAATATTGATCGTGCTTTATTACACACATTTTTCGTGGGCTTTTAGTGCGCAATTTGATTTTAGTCATGCAACACTATTGTATTAAAAATTGTAAAGTACTAAACAAAAATGCAGAAAAATAATTTAAATAAAAAGCTTTTTAGGTAATAATGCACTAAAAATAAATGCATTATTATATTAAAAGTTTGTTATTAAAATATTTATTGTGTGCATTTTTTACTTAACATGCTTCTAATTAGTAATTAACAGTGTCTAAGTTTTAAGGTTATATGTGTGTGTATGAATGTATTTGCGTTTATGAAGCTGTATGCAGGTGTGTAAGTGTATGGTGTGTGCATATGTGTGAAAAGGTGTGTGTGCGTGTATGTGAATATATGAATGTGTTTGTGAGTGTATGAGGGTGTGTGTGTGTAAGTAGCTGTGTGAGTGTATGTAGCTGTGTGTGAGTGTATGTAGCCTTGTGTGAGTGTATGTAGCTGTGTGTGAGTGTATGTAGCTGTGTGTTAGTGTATGTAGCTGTGTGTGTGTATCTAGCTGTGTGTGTGTGTGTATGTAGATTTGTGTGTGAGTGTATGTAGCTGTGTGTGAATGTATGTAGCCGTGTGTGTGTATGTAGCTGTGTGTGAGTGTATGTAGCTGTGTGTGAGTGTATGTAGCTGTGTGTGTGTATGTAGCTGTGTGTGTGTGTATGTAGATTTGTGTGTGAGTGTATGTAGCCGTGTGTGTATGTATGTAGCCGTGTGATATCCTACCTTGACAAGTGTGAGCATATGTAGCTGTGTGTGAGTGTATGTAGCTGTGTGTGAGTGTATGTAGCTGTGTGTGAGTGTATGTAGCTGTGTGTGAGTGTATGTAGCTGTGTGAGTGTATGTAGCTGTGTGTGAATGTATGTAGCTGTGTGTGAGTGTATGTAGCTGTGTGTGAGTGTATGTAGCTGTGTGTGTGCGTGTATGTAGCTGTGTGTGAGTGTATGAGGGTGTGTGTGAGTGTATGTAGCTGTGTGTGAGTGTATGTAGCTGTGTGTGAGTGTATGTAGCTGTGTGTGAATATATGTAGCCGTGTGTGTGTATGTAGCTGTGTGAGTGTATGTAGCTGTGTGTGAGTGTATGTAGCTGTGTGTGTGTATGTAGCTGTGTGTGTGTGTATGTAGATTTGTGTGTGAGTGTATGTAGCCGTGTGTGTGAGTATGTAGCCGTGTGATATCCTACCTTGACAAGTGTGAGCATATGTAGCTGTGTGTGAGTGTATGTAGCTGTGTGTGAGTGTATGTAGCTGTGTGTGAGTGTATGTAGCTGTGTGAGCGTATGTAGCTGTGTGTGAATGTACGTAGATGTGTGTGAGTGTATGTAGCTGTGTGTGTGTATGTGTGTGAGTGTATGTAGCTGTGTGTGAATGTATGTAGCTGTGTGTGAGTGTATGTAGCCGTGTGTGAGTGTATGTAGCCATGTGTGAGTGTATGTAGCTGTGTGAGTGTATGTAGCTGTGTGTGAGTGTATGTAGCCGTGTGTGAGTGTATGTAGCCATGTGTGAGTGTATGTAGCTGTGTGAGTGTATGTAGCTGTGTGTGAGTGTATGTAGCCGTGTGTGAGTGTATCTAGCTGTGTGTGTATGTAGATTTGTGTGTGAGTGTATGTAGCTGTGTGTGAATGTATGTAGCTGTGTGTGAGTGTATGTAGCCGTGTATGAGTGTATGTAGCCATGTGTGAATGTATGTAGCCATGTGTGAGTGTATGTAGCCATGTGATATCCTACCTTGACAAGTGTGAGCATATGTAGCTGTGTGTGTGTATCTAGCTGTGTGTAAATGTATGTAGCTGTGTGTGTATGTATGTAGCTGTGTGTGAGTGTATGTAGCTGTGTGTGTGAGTGTATGTAGCCGTGTGTGAGTGTGTGTAGCCGTGTGTGAGTGTATGTAGCCGTGTGTGAATGTATGTATCTGTGTGTGAGTGTATGTAGCCATGTGTGTGTGTATGTAGCTGTGTGTGAGTGTATGTATGTAGCCGTGTGTGAGTGTATGTAGCCGTGTGTGAGTGTGTGTAGCCGTGTGTGAGTGTATGTAGCCGTGTGTGAATGTATGTATCTGTGTGTGAGTGTATGTAGCCATGTGTGTGTGTATGTAGCTGTGTGTGAGTGTATGTATGTAGCCGTGTGTGAGTGTATGTAGCTGTGTGTGAGTGTATGTAGCTGTGTGTGAGTGTATGTAGCCGTGTGTGAATGTATGTAGCCGTGTGTGAGTGTATGTATCTGTGTGTGAGTGTATGTAGCCATGTGTGTGTGTATGTAGCTGTGTGTGAGTGTATGTATGTAGCCGTGTGTGAGTGTATGTATTCTAATTAGTAATTAACAGTGTCTAAGTTTTAAGGTTATATGTGTGTGTATGAATGTATTTGCGTTTATGAAGCTGTATGCAGGTGTGTAAGTGTATGGTGTGTGCATATGTGTGAAAAGGTGTGTGTGCGTGTATGTGAATATATGAATGTGTTTGTGAGTGTATGAGGGTGTGTGTGTGTAAGTAGCTGTGTGAGTGTATGTAGCTGTGTGTGAGTGTATGTAGCCTTGTGTGAGTGTATGTAGCTGTGTGTGAGTGTATGTAGCTGTGTGTTAGTGTATGTAGCTGTGTGTGTGTATCTAGCTGTGTGTGTGTGTGTATGTAGATTTGTGTGTGAGTGTATGTAGCTGTGTGTGAGTGTATGTAGCTGTGTGTGAGTGTATGTAGCTGTGTGTGAATGTATGTAGCCGTGTGTGTGTATGTAGCTGTGTGTGAGTGTATGTAGCTGTGTGTGAGTGTATGTAGCTGTGTGTGTGTATGTAGCTGTGTGTGTGTGTATGTAGATTTGTGTGTGAGTGTATGTAGCCGTGTGTGTATGTATGTAGCCGTGTGATATCCTACCTTGACAAGTGTGAGCATATGTAGCTGTGTGTGAGTGTATGTAGCTGTGTGTGAGTGTATGTAGCTGTGTGTGAGTGTATGTAGCTGTGTGAGTGTATGTAGCTGTGTGTGAATGTATGTAGCTGTGTGTGAGTGTATGTAGCTGTGTGTGAGTGTATGTAGCTGTGTGTGTGCGTGTATGTAGCTGTGTGTGAGTGTATGAGGGTGTGTGTGAGTGTATGTAGCTGTGTGTGAGTGTATGTAGCTGTGTGTGAGTGTATGTAGCTGTGTGTGAATATATGTAGCCGTGTGTGTGTATGTAGCTGTGTGAGTGTATGTAGCTGTGTGTGAGTGTATGTAGCTGTGTGTGTGTATGTAGCTGTGTGTGTGTGTATGTAGATTTGTGTGTGAGTGTATGTAGCCGTGTGTGTGAGTATGTAGCCGTGTGATATCCTACCTTGACAAGTGTGAGCATATGTAGCTGTGTGTGAGTGTATGTAGCTGTGTGTGAGTGTATGTAGCTGTGTGTGAGTGTATGTAGCTGTGTGAGCGTATGTAGCTGTGTGTGAATGTACGTAGATGTGTGTGAGTGTATGTAGCTGTGTGTGTGTATGTGTGTGAGTGTATGTAGCTGTGTGTGAATGTATGTAGCTGTGTGTGAGTGTATGTAGCCGTGTGTGAGTGTATGTAGCCATGTGTGAGTGTATGTAGCTGTGTGAGTGTATGTAGCTGTGTGTGAGTGTATGTAGCCGTGTGTGAGTGTATGTAGCCATGTGTGAGTGTATGTAGCTGTGTGAGTGTATGTAGCTGTGTGTGAGTGTATGTAGCCGTGTGTGAGTGTATCTAGCTGTGTGTGTATGTAGATTTGTGTGTGAGTGTATGTAGCTGTGTGTGAATGTATGTAGCTGTGTGTGAGTGTATGTAGCCGTGTATGAGTGTATGTAGCCATGTGTGAATGTATGTAGCCATGTGTGAGTGTATGTAGCCATGTGATATCCTACCTTGACAAGTGTGAGCATATGTAGCTGTGTGTGTGTATCTAGCTGTGTGTAAATGTATGTAGCTGTGTGTGTATGTATGTAGCTGTGTGTGAGTGTATGTAGCTGTGTGTGTGAGTGTATGTAGCCGTGTGTGAGTGTGTGTAGCCGTGTGTGAGTGTATGTAGCCGTGTGTGAATGTATGTATCTGTGTGTGAGTGTATGTAGCCGTGTGTGTGTGTATGTAGCTGTGTGTGAGTGTATGTATGTAGCCGTGTGTGAGTGTATGTAGCCGTGTGTGAATGTATGTATCTGTGTGTGAGTGTATGTAGCCATGTGTGTGTGTATGTAGCTGTGTGTGAGTGTATGTATGTAGCCGTGTGTGAGTGTATGTAGCCATGTGTGAGTGTGTGTAGCCGTGTGTGAGTGTATGTAGCCGTGTGTGAATGTATGTATCTGTGTGTGAGTGTATGTAGCCATGTGTGTGTGTATGTAGCTGTGTGTGAGTGTATGTATGTAGCCGTGTGTGAGTGTATGTAGCTGTGTGTGAGTGTATGTAGCTGTGTGTGAGTGTATGTAGCCGTGTGTGAATGTATGTAGCCGTGTGTGAGTGTATGTATCTGTGTGTGAGTGTATGTAGCCATGTGTGTGTGTATGTAGCTGTGTGTGAGTGTATGTATGTAGCCGTGTGTGAGTGTATGTAGCTGTGTGTAAATGTATGTAGCCGTGTGAGTGTATGTAGCTGTGTGTGTATGTATGTAGCCGTGTGTGTATGTATGTAGCCGTGTGATATCCTACCTTGACAAGTGTGAGCATCTGAAGTCAGCAAGAAACCAGGGGGACAAGAACAAGAGTAGCTGCCTGGTGTGTTGTGACAGCTGTGGCTACATGGACTTGACACTGCACATTCATCATCATCTGGGGGTCAAGCACTTTCATAACACATATTCTACCATCATCATCTGGGGGTCAAGCACTTTCATAACACATATTCTACCCTCATCAGCTATAGTAGCATCTGATATTCTACCCTCATCAGCTATAGTAGCACATCATATTCTACCCTCATCAGCTATAGTAGCACATCATATTCTAACCTCATCAGCTATAGTAGCATCCGATATTCTATCCTCATCAGCTATAGTAGCATCTCATATTCTATCCTCATCAGCTATGGTAGCACATCATATTCTATCCTCATCAGCTATAGTAGCACATCATATTCTAACCTCATCAGCTATAGTAGCATCTGATATTCTATTCTCATTAGCTATAGTAGCAACAAATGTTCTACCAAAATGATTCGTGTGGTTGTAAAAATCAATTTACCTCTACAAAATGATTCGTGTGGTTGTAAAAATCAATTTACCTCTACAAAATGATTCGTGTGGTTGTAAAAATCAATTTACCTCTACAAAATGATTCGTGTGGTTGTAAAAATCAATTTACCTCTACAAAATGATTCGTGTGGTTGTAAAAATCAATTTACCTCTACAAAATGATTTGTGTGGTTGTAAAAATCAATTTACCTCTACAAAATGATTCGTGTGGTTGTAAAAATCAATTTACCTCTACAAAATGATTCGTGTGGTTGTAAAAATTAATTTACCTCTACAAAATGATTCGTGTGGTTGTAAAAATCAATTTACCTCTACAAAATGATTCGTGTGGTTGTAAAAATTAATTTACCTCTACAAAATGATTCGTGTGGATCGTGCTGAAACCCTGAGGGACATCTATTGCTGGGGTTACCTGATGCAATAAAAAATGTCTTAAACTTGCTGGTGTACAGACCAAAACAAACAATTAAAAATGTCTTAAACTTGCTGGTGTACAGACCAAAACAAACAATTAAAAATGTCTTAAACTTGCTGGTGTACAGACCAAAACAAACAATAAAAAATGTCTTAAACTTGCTGGTGTACAGACCAAAACAAACAATAAAAAATGTCTTAAACTTGCTGGTGTACAGATCAAAACAAAAAACTTTATTACACCATTCAAGGTTTGATTATGGATACATGAAACTAGCTTCATTACCTGGAGCAATGGATGCATCTAGAACAAAATTTATTGTTTGCTCTTCAGGTATGGCCTCCACCTGCAGATCTTTTGTACTTAACACCTGGACCAGGTATGGCATTTGGCCTGATGACTCATAAGTGATGGTGTGATTCCATGCATAGGGCAGAGTGAATCCATCAGCACTGAACAAACGGGAAGAGTGGGCGTAGATGGTGCCTGGTAGAACACATGTTGGATCAAATTAATACAAGAGATGGTGCCTAGTAGAACACATGTTGGATCAAATTAATACAAGAGATGGTGCCTAGTAGAACACATGTTGGATCAAATTAATACAAGAGATGGTGCCTAGTAGAACACATGTTGGATCAAATTAATACAAGAGATGGTGCCTAGTAGAACACATGTTGGATCAAATTAATACAAGAGATGGTGCCTAGTAGAACACATGTTGGATCAAATTAATACAAGAGATGGTGCCTAGTAGAACACATGTTGGATCAAATTAATACAAGAGATGGTGCCTAGTAGAACACATGTTGGATCAAATTAATACAAGAGATGGTGCCTAGTAGAACACATGTTGGATCAAATTAATACAAGAGATGGTGCCTAGTAGAACACATGTTGGATCAAATTAATACAAGAGATGGTGCCTAGTAGAACACATGTTGGATCAAATTAATACAAGAGATGGTGCCTAGTAGAACACATGTTGGATCAAATTAATACAAGAGATGGTGCCTAGTAGAACACATGTTGGATCAAATTAATACAAGAGATGGTGCCTAGTAGAACACATGTTGGATCAAATTAATACAAGAGATGGTGCCTAGTAGAACACATGTTGGATCAAATTAATACAAGAGATGGTGCCTAGTAGAACACATGTTGGATCAAATTAATATAAGAGATGGTGCCTAGTAGAACACATGTTGGATCAAATTAATACAAGAGATGGTGCCTAGTAGAACACATGTTGGATCAAATTAATACAGGAGATGGTGCCTAGTAGAACACATGTTGGATCAAATTAATACAAGAGATGGGGCCTAGTAGAACACATGTTGGATCAAATTAATATAGGACAAGAGATGGTGCCTAGTAGAACACATGTTGGATCAAATTAATACAAGAGATGGTGCCTAGTAGAACACATGTTGGATCAAATTAATACAAGAGATGGGGCCTAGTAGAACACATGTTGGATCAAATTAATACAAGAGATGGTGCCTAGTAGAACACATGTTGGATCAAATTAATACAAGAGATGGTGCCTAGTAGAACACATGTTGGATCAAATTAATACAAGAGATGGTGCCTAGTAGAACACATGTTGGATCAAATTAATATAGGACAAGAGATGGTGCCTAGTAGAACACATGTTGGATCAAATTAATACAAGAGATGGTGCCTAGTAGAACACATGTTGGATCAAATTAATATAGGACAAGAGATGGTGCCTAGTAGAACACATGTTGGATCAAATTAATACAAGAGATGGTGCCTAGTAGAACACATGTTGGATCAAATTAATATAGGACAAGAGATGGTGCCTAGTAGAACACATGTTGGATCAAATTAATACAAGAGATGGTGCCTAGTAGAACACATGTTGGATCAAATTAATACAAGAGATGGTGCCTAGTAGAACACATGTTGGATCAAATTAATACAAGAGATGGTGTCTAGTAGAACACATGTTGGATCAAATTAATACAGGACAAGAGATGGTGTCAGTCATGTGTAGAGCAGCTTGCTAGTGCTGTGTGCAATTCTCACCTGGGCCAGTTTGAATGTATTCCTCTTGATAAGGGGCAAGATGTACTTTACTAACAGTTCCTAGGTCTGGCACTTCTCCTCTGATGATGATGTCAAACTGCAGGATTCCATCACTGTCCACCCCATTGGCATAATGGGACATCTTCAGAATTTCACCTGCATACCACATACATTTATAGTAACAAAATCTATACCACATACATTTATACTAACAAAATCTATACCACATACATTTATACTAACAAAATCTATACCACATACATTTATACTAACAAAAACTATACCACATACATTTATAGTAACAAAATCTATACCACATACATTTATACTAACAAAATCTATACCACATACATTTATACTTACAAAATCTATACCACATACATTTATAGTAACAAAATCTATACCACATACATTTATACTAACAAAATCTATACCACATACATTTATACTAACAAAATCTATACCACATACATTTATACTAACAAAATCTATACCACATACATTTATACTAACAAAATCTATACCACATACATTTATAGTAACAAAATCTATACCACATACATTTATACTAACAAAATCTATACCACAAACATTTATACTAACAAAATCTATACCACATACATTTATACTAACAAAATCTATACCACATACATTTATACTAACAAAGTCTATACCACATGCATTTATAGTAACAAAATCTATACCACATACATTTATACTAACAAAATCTATACCACATACATTTATACTAACAAAGTCTATACCACATACATTTATACTAACAAAGTCTATACCACATGCATTTATAGTAACAAAATCTATACCACATACATTTATACTAACAAAATCTATACCACATGCATTTATACTAACAAAATCTATACCACATACATTTATACTAACAAAATCTATACCACAAACATTTATAGTAACAAAAACTATACCACATACATTGATAGTAACTAAAACACCTTCCTGTACACAATCACATTTTGGCCTACAAAAGTAGTAAACTGATAAGAACATATTCATGCCCACACTGTTGGCACAAAAAAACGACTCACCAGTAGCAAACTCCACCTGCACTTCTCGACTAAATTTTCCTTCAGTTAGAGTGTAACCATTGGCTGCTCCTTTAATCTCTTGTGCTGTTGTCCAGTAGACAGGTGTCAACAGAGATATTAGGTGCTGCATGGAGTCAACTGGAAAATATAACCATCACTATATGCTGGTCAACTAAAAACTTTAACCATCACTATATGCTGGTCAACTAAAAACTTTAACCATCACTATATGCTGGTCAACTAAAAACTTCAACCATCACTATATGCTGGTCAACTAAAAACTTTAACCATCACTATATGCTGGTCAACTAAAAACTTCAACCATCACTATATGCTGGTCAACTGAAAACTTCAACCATCACTATATGCTGGTCAACTGGAAAATATAACCATCACTATATGCTGGTCAACTGGAAAATATAACCATCACTATATGCTGGTCAACTGAAAACTTCAACCATCACTATATGCTGGTCAACTGGAAAATATAACCATCACTATATGCTGGTCAACTGGAAAATATAACCATCACTATATGCTGGTCAACTGGAAAATATAACCATCACTATATGCTGGTCAACTGAAAACTTCAACCATCACTATATGCTGGTCAATTGAAAACTTCAACCATCACTATATGCTGGTCAATTGAAAACTTCAAACATCACTATATGCTGGTCAACTGGAAAATATAACCATCACTATATGCTGGTCAACTGGAAAAAATAACCATCACTATATGCTGGTCAACTGGAAAATATAACCATCACTATATGCTGGTCAACTGGAAAATATAACCATCACTATATGCTGGTCAATTGAAAACTTCAAACATCACTATATGCTGGTCAACTGAAAACTTCAACCATCACTATATGCTGGTCAACTAAAAACTTCAACCATCACTATATGCTGGTCAATTGAAAACTTCAACCATCACTATATGCTGGTCAATTGAAAACTTCAACCATCACTATATGCTGGTCAATTGAAAACTTCAACCATCACTATATGCTGGTCAATTGAAAACTTCAAACATCACTATATGCTGGTCAATTGAAAACTTCAAACATCACTATATGCTGGTCAACTGGAAAATATAACCATCACTATATGCTGGTCAACTGGAAAATATAACCATCACTATATGCTGGTCAACTGGAAAATATAACCATCACTATATGCTGGTCAACTGGAAAATATAACCATCACTATATGCTGGTCAACTGGAAAATATAACCATCACTATATGCTGGTCAATTGAAAACTTCAACCATCACTATATGCTGGTCAATTGAAAACTTCAACCATCACTATATGCTGGTCAATTGAAAACTTCAAACATCACTATATGCTGGTCAATTGAAAACTTCAAACATCACTATATGCTGGTCAATTGAAAACTTCAACCATCACTATATGCTGGTCAATTGAAAACTTCAACCATCACTATATGCTGGTCAACTGGAAAATATAACCATCACTATATGCTGGTCAACTGGAAAATATAACCATCACTATATGCTGGTCAACTGAAAACTTCAACCATCACTATATGCTGGTCAACTGGAAAATATAACCATCACTATATGCTGGTCAATTGAAAACTTCAACCATCACTATATGCTGGTCAACTGAAAACTTCAACCATCACTATATGCTGGTCAACTCAAAACTTAAACCATCACTATATGCTGGTCAACTGGAAATTTCAACCATTCAAATCGAACAGTTTTACTAATATAATCACTGGATGTTAAAAGATTATATTTTCAGGTTCACCCATTTTTACAATGGAGGTATAGAGTTGAGTCTGTGAATTAATGCAAGTCTAATTTAAAAGTTGTCTCTACACACTAAGAGCTGAACTGTTTGAACTGAGCACATTTTTAAAAATATTTTTACATTTCTCATTTCCAGTCTAAAAATCTCAAACTAGAATCAGATTTGGGCTGACAGATCATGTTGCTAGCACTAAATACCTGTAAGGGTTAAGTGAGTCTTGTATCTACTTACCTGCATCAGGTGGAATGGTTGTAATTGTAAGGGTTAAGTGAGTCTTGTATCTACTTACCTGCATCAGGTGGAATGGCTGTAATTGTAAGGGTTAAGTGAGTCTTGTATCTACTTACCTGCATCAGGTGGAATGGCTGTAATTGTAAGAGTTAAGTGAGTCTTGTATCTACTTACCTGCATCAGGTGGAATGGCTGTAATTGTAAGAGTTAAGTGAGTCTTGTATCTACTTACCTGCATCAGGTGGAATGGCTGTAATTGTAAGGGTTAAGTGAGTCTTGTATCTACTTACCTGCATCAGGTGGAATGGTTGTAATTGTAGGGGTTAAGTGAGTCTTGTATCTACTTACCTGCATCAGGTGGAATGGTTGTAATTGTAAGGGTTAAGTGAGTCTTGTATCTACTTACCTGCATCAGGTGGAATGGTTGTAATTGTAAGGGTTAAGTGAGTCTTGTATCTACTTACCTGCATCAGGTGGAATGGCTGTAATTGTAGGGGTTAAGTGAGTCTTGTATCTACTTACCTGCATCAGGTGGAATGGTTGTAATTGTAAGGGTTAAGTGAGTCTTGTATCTACTTACCTGCATCAGGTGGAATGGCTGTAATTGTAAGGGTTAAGTGAGTCTTGTATCTACTTACCTGCATCAGGTGGAATGGCTGTAATTGTAAGAGTTAAGTGAGTCTTGTATCTACTTACCTGCATCAGGTGGAATGGCTGTAATTGTAAGAGTTAAGTGAGTCTTGTATCTACTTACCTGCATCAGGTGGAATGGCTGTAATTGTAAGGGTTAAGTGAGTCTTGTATCTACTTACCTGCATCAGGTGGAATGGTTGTAATTGTAGGGGTTAAGTGAGTCTTGTATCTACTTACCTGCATCAGGTGGAATGGTTGTAATTGTAAGGGTTAAGTGAGTCTTGTATCTACTTACCTGCATCAGGTGGAATGGCTGTAATTGTAGGGGTTAAGTGAGTCTTGTATCTACTTACCTGCATCAGGTGGAATGGCTGTAATTGAAGCTTGTACTCTAGTGCTGCCACTCTCTCTTGGAATGATCTCTGCTGTAATAGTTGTGTCTGCTATATCCACATTGTTGATGATGCCTAGTACATAGCCTTTACCTCTCAGAGGAATTTCTAGTGAAACAAACAAGGAATATCATGTCTGTGTTTTTTTTTTATCTAGCCCCAATAAAAAGAAATGACAAGTACAATGTATGTTACAACCTAAGGTCTTCGTCAGCACACAACAAAGTGTTTAAAGATTGAATTAAAAAAAAGACATCAGTGCTAAAATTACAAAGTCAGCTTGACAGTGAAAATATGTTTTGTCTTAGTCACATGATATCCAAATGAAAAGAGATCTTTTAATGAGGGGATTTGGTGGATTGTAATGGGACGTATAGAGTAGAGTTGTTGGGTTTTGATGCTGGTCATTTGAAATTTTATTCAAACATTAATAGCAATAAAGTGCCAAAATATTACATGAGCCAAGTTCCATGTTCAGCTGGGTTTTAAAATTATGTCAATTACAAAATAGTAGTCACTGTTTTAAAATTATTCAGTTAAAGAGAGATGTCATTGTTTTAAAATTATGTCAGTTTCAGATAGCAGTCGTTGTTTTAAAATTATGTCAGTTACAGATAACAGTCATTCAAAAGTCTGTATAATATTAAGTTTAGCCTTCTTAGTGTTGAACAATGAAGAATGTCTTCACTTGAATGGATCTTAGATGTAGGTTGACAATTGTTTCTCAGTGTATCCAATGTAATGGACGTCACATCAACTGTCTTTGATCATGTTGGGGATATTCAGTTGTTATAGTGATGACCACACTATCTCTTCATATGCCCAAGTCATTGAAACAGATGAATTCTACTTCATCTACTCCATGTGTCTTGGGCACGAATGAGAGAAGGTGACAATTCATTGCGTCATAAAATTTGTCTGAATTAGATTTTTAATAAACTCTTAAAAATAAATCAATGTTTCCTTTATAAAGCACTAATCATCCACTCTATTATACACACATTGTTTATGTTCATGTGGTAAGCAATCCGTTTCTTTCATGATTCTATTCTTATTGTGTTCTAGGGATGAAACTGGAAAAACACTTGATGATATGTAGTTACAATCAAACCTGTTGATTCACCCAAAAAATAGTTTGTCTGAGCCAATAGGTCTGAAAGAAGAAATATCAAAGTGTGTTCTTACTAGAGCAGGGAGGCAGGCTACACTCCATGACTTCATTAGTATCACCCCAACATCTCCTGCCACCATTGGAAGGTTGAATGCAATTTCTAGATCTGACTTGAGTGCCTTGACCACAGGTTACAGAGCACACTGACCAGTCTGACCAGTCAGAAAATTTGCCATCAACTGAAAGAATGTCATAACATATTAGTATCATCAATCAAAGTCTAGTCAAGAAAATGTTGTCCCAAGTACCTAAAGCATATCTAGTCAAGAAAATGTTGTCCCAAGTACCTAAAGCATATCTAGTCAAGAAAATGTTGTCCCAAGTACCTAAAGCATATCTAGTCAAGAAAATGTTGTCCCAAGTACCTAAAGCATATCTAGTCAAGAAAATGTTCTCCCAAGTACCTAAAGCATATCTAGTCAAGAAAATGTTCTCCCAAGTACCTAAAGCATATCTAGTCAAGAAAATGTTCTCCCAAGTACCTAAAGCATATCTAGTCAAGAAAATGTTCTCCCAAGTACCTAAAGGATATCTAGTCAAGAAAATGTTCTCCCAAGTACCTAAAGCATATCTAGTCAAGAAAATGTTGTCCCAAGTACCTAAAGCATATCTAGTCAAGAAAATGTTGTCCCAAGTACCTAAAGCATATCTAGTCAAGAAAATGTCCCAAGTACCTAAAGCATATCTAGTCAAGAAAATGTTCTCCCAAGTACCTACCTGGACATTGTTGGCTATTGCAATTCTCTGTTTCCTCAGCGCTGCCCATACAAGGCTGACCACTGCCACTGGGAGCTGGGTTGTTACAAGCTCGTATTCTTCTCCGATGGCCACCTCCACATGTTAGGCTGCACTCTGACCACAAGTTCCAGGCTCCCCAGTTGCCATGGACTGTCAAAAATTTTTGGGCTCAATAGAAACAACTTCATGAAAAACCTGTAGGTATGACTCTACTACTTGACTAACAAAGAGATATCATGTAAGGCAATGGCAACAACTGCTCAGGTGTCCAGTAGCCAATGGCAACAGCTCAGGTGGTCCAGTAGCCAATGGCAACAGCTCAGGTGGTCCAGTAGCAACAGAAACTAGACTAAAACTACTGACTGGACTTAGTACTAAACTGAGGCTATACAAAGTGTAAGAGAACTGACCTGGGCATGCTTCTATCATACAGCTGGAGACTTCAACACTGGGCCCCACACAGTTCCTGCCACCATTCTCTGGCCTTGGGTTGTCACAGCTCCTGACCCTTGAGTGCTCACCTCTGCCACAGCTGGCACTACAATGGCCCCACGGACCCCAGGAGGAATATTCTCCATGGACTTAACAAGGAAAAATGGTTGCTATATAACATCTAACAACACACAATTCTTTTTCTCAGTTTCAATCACACCCACCAACTTATTTTCCCTCTGAACAAGTAATGGTTCCCTTCCACAATCTTCCATTGTCTAATAGAAAAAGTTTAATCTTTGGACAAAAAAAGAGAGCAAGAAAAAGCTGTACTAACCTACCACATTAAGGTAGGTCTCCACAAATGTCTTGCCCAGTGGGTTACTTGCAAAACATCTGTACAGGCCACCATCAGACTGCTGGGTGGCCACAATCCTAGTTGAAACACATACATTTGATCACATTGTTCTACACAATCCTAGTTGAAACACATACATTCAGACATTTGATCACACACAATCCTAGTTGAAACACATACATTCAGACATTTGATTATATCTTCATTATTCTACACAACCCTAGTAATAAGGCCTGCAGGTTATTAAATAAATCAATCCTAGCCTTTACTAGGGTGTCCATAAAAAATGTCCCCCTCACCCCACCCCTTGTAAGTGAAGTTTGTGTCACCTTAAGGTGTTGTTTGCCAGGACTGAAATCCTCCCTCCTGTCACTATGGCAACCTTTTCCTTCCACCAAAACATGGAGGGAGCTGGCACACCCTCAGCTGTACAGTCAAACAAGGTGGTCTCCCCTACCTCAACTACAGCATTGCTGGGCTCAATTTTAAATTTTGGTTCCGCTGGAAATACAGAAACATATCAGGAGGAAATACATGGGGTTTAGAAACATTTCAGGAGGAAATACAGAAAAAGAAAATGTTTTCTGTAGAAACACAAATAGAATAAAGATAATTTTTGAATCCATGAACAGCTTTCTATAAGTCATCCATCATCTACAAGTGAACAATTAGACAGGTAGGCAACTAAAAACTTACATTTGACAGTTACAACAGACTGTTTAGACAGGTAAACATCTAAAAACTTACATTTGACAGTTACAACAGACTGTTTAGACAGGTAAGCAACCAAAAACTTACATTTGACAGTTACAACAGACTGTTTAGACAGGTAAACAACTAAAAACTTACATTTGACAGTTACAACAGACTGTTTAGACAGGTAAGCAACCAAAAACTTACATTTGACAGTTACAACAGACTGTTTAGACAGGTAAACAACTAAAAACTTACATTTGACAGTTACAACAGACTGTTTAGACAGGTAAGCAACCAAAAACTTACATTTGACAGTTACAACAGACTGTTTAGACAGGTAAGCAACTAAAAACTTACATTTGACAGTTACAACAGACTGTTTAGACAGGTAAGCAACCAAAAACTTACATTTGACAGTTACAACAGACTGTTTAGACAGGTAAACAACTAAAAACTTACATTTGACAGTTACAACAGACTGTTTAGACAGGTAGACAACCAAAAACTTACATTTGACAGTTACAACAGACTGTGCCTCTGATGTCCCAGCATCATTTACAGCAATACATTTATATTTGCCAGCATCTGACGCCTACAAGAACACAACATCAGTATTTCTATTTGATATTTGCCAAGTTTTAGAGAATAATGGGTCAGCCAATCACTTATATAAACACAACATAATAAATGCTAAGAGAGGCAATCACAACTTACTGTAGCATCATAAATAATGAGAGAGCCATTCTCCAGTTGCTGGATTCTATCTCCCAGCTCAACAGGTCGGCTATTTTTGGTCCAGACAATTTCAGGAGCAGGGTCACCCCCAACAGAGCAGTCCAGAACCACTTTCTCAGCAATCTTCACAGCCCAGTCAAGTGGTGGTACAATCACACGAGGTGGGACTTGGGAGAAAAAAAGTATGGCTATGGGTGTGGTACAATCACACGAGGTGGGACTTTAGAGAAAAAAAGTATGGCTATGTGTGTGGTACAATCACACGAGGTGGGACTTTAGAGAAAAAAAGTATGGCTATGTGTGTGGTACAATCACACGAGGTGGGACTTTAGAGAAAAAAAGTATGGCTATGTGTGTGGTACAATCACACGAGGTGGGACTTTAGAGAAAAAAAGTATGGCTATGTGTGTGGTACAATCACACGAGGTGGCACTTGAGAGAAAAAAAGTATGGCTATGTGTGTGGTACAATCACACGAGGTGGGACTTTAGAGAAAAAAAGTATGGCTATGTGTGTGGTACAATCACACGAGGTGGCACTTGAGAGAAAAAAAGTATGGCTAGGTGTGCAAAGTTAACTCTTCTAGTTTTTATTATTTGTAATAATGAACATAAAGGAAGAAATGATCTGTAGTAGTTTGCTTTTGGAGTTTTCTCTCCTTAATGGGTTAGTCTATCTGTTGTGGTAGGACCTATGGCTGTTGTGGTAGGACCTATGGCTGTTGTGGTAGCACCTATGGCTGTCTGTTGTGGTAGCACCTATGGCTGTTGTGGTAGCACCTATGGCTGTTGTGGTAGCACCTATGGCTGTTGTGGTAGCACCTATGGCTGTTGTGGTAGCACCTATGGCTGTCTGTTGTGGTAGGACCTATGGCTGTTGTGGTAGCACCTATGGCTGTTGTGGTAGCACCTAAGGCTGTTGTGGTAGCACCTATGGCTGTCTGTTGTGGTAGCACCTAAGGCTGTTGTGGTAGGACCTATGGCTGTTGTGGTAGCACCTATGGCTGTCTGTTGTGGTAGGACCTATGGCTGTCTGTTGTGGTAGGACCTATGGCTGTTGTGGTAGCACTTATGGCTGTTGTGGTAGCACCTAAGGCTGTTGTGGTAGCACCTATGGCTGTTGTGGTAGGACCTATGGCTGTTGTGGTAGCACCTAAGGCTGTCTGTTGTGGTAGCACGTAAGGCTGTTGTGGTAGCACCTATGGCTGTCTGTTGTGGTAGCACCTAAGGCTGTTGTGGTAGGACCTATGGCTGTTGTGGTAGCACCTATGGCTGTCTGTTGTGGTAGCACCTATGGCTGTCTGTTGTGGTAGGACCTATGGCTGTTGTGGTAGCACTTATGGCTGTTGTGGTAGCACCTAAGGCTGTTGTGGTAGCACCTATGGCTGTTGTGGTAGGACCTATGGCTGTTGTGGTAGCACCTAAGGCTGTCTGTTGTGGTAGCACGTAAGGCTGTTGTGGTAGCACCTATGGCTGTCTGTTGTGGTAGGACCTATGGCTGTTGTGGTAGCACCTAAGGCTGTTGTGGTAGCACCTATGGCTGTTGTGGTAGGACCTATGGCTGTTGTGGTAGGACCTATGGCTGTTGTGGTAGCACCTATGGCTGTTGTGGTAGCACCTATGGCTGTCTGTTGTGGTAGGACCTATGGCTGTTGTGGTAGCACCTATGGCTGTTGTGGTAGCACCTAAGGCTGTTGTGGTAGCACCTATGGCTGTCTGTTGTGGTAGCACCTAAGGCTGTTGTGGTAGGACCTATGGCTGTTGTGGTAGCACCTATGGCTGTCTGTTGTGGTAGCACCTAAGGCTGTCTGTTGTGGTAGCACGTAAGGCTGTTGTGGTAGCACCTATGGCTGTCTGTTGTGGTAGGACCTATGGCTGTTGTGGTAGCACCTAAGGCTGTTGTGGTAGCACCTATGGCTGTTGTGGTAGGACCTATGGCTGTTGTGGTAGGACCTATGGCTGTTGTGGTAGCACCTATGGCTGTTGTGGTAGCACCTATGGCTGTCTGTTGTGGTAGGACCTATGGCTGTTGTGGTAGCACCTATGGCTGTTGTGGTAGCACCTAAGGCTGTTGTGGTAGCACCTATGGCTGTCTGTTGTGGTAGCACCTAAGGCTGTTGTGGTAGGACCTATGGCTGTTGTGGTAGCACCTATGGCTGTCTGTTGTGGTAGGACCTATGGCTGTCTGTTGTGGTAGGACCTATGGCTGTTGTGGTAGCACTTATGGCTGTTGTGGTAGCACCTAAGGCTGTTGTGGTAGCACCTATGGCTGTTGTGGTAGGACCTATGGCTGTTGTGGTAGCACCTAAGGCTGTCTGTTGTGGTAGCACGTAAGGCTGTTGTGGTAGCACCTATGGCTGTCTGTTGTGGTAGCACCTAAGGCTGTTGTGGTAGGACCTATGGCTGTTGTGGTAGCACCTATGGCTGTCTGTTGTGGTAGCACCTATGGCTGTCTGTTGTGGTAGGACCTATGGCTGTTGTGGTAGCACTTATGGCTGTTGTGGTAGCACCTAAGGCTGTTGTGGTAGCACCTATGGCTGTTGTGGTAGGACCTATGGCTGTTGTGGTAGCACCTAAGGCTGTCTGTTGTGGTAGCACGTAAGGCTGTTGTGGTAGCACCTATGGCTGTCTGTTGTGGTAGGACCTATGGCTGTTGTGGTAGCACCTAAGGCTGTTGTGGTAGCACCTATGGCTGTTGTGGTAGGACCTATGGCTGTTGTGGTAGGACCTATGGCTGTCTGTTGATGAACTGACCTTTAATGATGACTCTAGCGCTGGCAGTGATGAGCTGACCAGCAGGGTTAGCAGCTATACAGGTATACTCTCCAGCATCTTCCTTCATAGCATTTCTCACTGTTATGGTGCTGGCCCCATTCACACTGGCAGGAGCTACAAGAAACAACATAAGCATTTCTCACTGTTATGGTGCTAGCCCCATTCACACTGGCAGGAGCTACAAGAAACAACATTAGCATTTCTCACTGTTATGGTGCTAGCCCCATTCACACTGGCAGGAGCTACAAGAAACAACATTTGAACAATTTTATATTGTCTTATCTTTAAGGTTGAGGGTGATAGATGGATGGGACTTGACGATGGTCCAATTGAGGCCTCACAATAAATGGGTTCACGACATGTTGGCTCCTGACAAAATGACTTTTTACATATTGACAATCAAATTTACACTGCTTATATTTCAGTATATATTAAAACTTTTGTCATCTAATCATCAGGTGATGTAGATGTTACAGAGTTAAAGACACCTACATCATCAGGTAAAGTACATGAATAAAATTGTATGTAGCATGGAATATATTTTTTAAATTTGTAAATTCGATCTGTTTCATTTTGTCATTTTCTTTTTATCAAATCAAGCATTTCCTTTGCGTTATTTATATTTTGATAAAACCCCTCCCCTCCCTTAGAAATCAGCTATACCTATTGTTCTACCTGGTGAAGCCAGGCTGTCATAACAAAATACATACCAACAGAATAAACAACTCATTATTTTTTTCTAAATACACTAAATATGGTGCATTTGTAACAAAGTAATATTTTTTGCTAGAGTTAAAACAACAAGTCTTTTCTACAGTCTAGTAAGTTTTCAGCTATAGAATCTTTCAGAATGTTTTAGCCCAAATAAGCACTGCTACAGAAAGAAATCTGGCTGGGTGTTTGTAAATCTCGCCAGTTGTAACCACTAGCCTCTCTGTATTGGACAAGGGACAAGTTTTACACATAATAAAACTAATCCAACAAATGGTTGAGACAAACTGTTTGATAAAACTAATCCAACAAATGGTTGAGACAAACTGTTTGATAAAACTAATCCAACAAATTGTTGAGACAAACTGTTTGATAAAACTAATCCAACAAATAGTTGAGACAAACTGTTTGATAAAACTAATCCAACAAATGGTTGAGACAAACTGTTTGATAAAACTAATCCAATAAACCGGGAGTGATCTCCCCTAAACTTTCTCGAATATTCTTATATAAAATAACAGGGGATGGGAACTCGGGCTATAGACATGATTTTTAATCCATTTTAAAGTTTAAAAAAAAGAATAAAATCTCGTAGACAAATTAATTGCACACCAAGTGAACGCCAAATAAAAAAGCGCATAATAGTGCGCAATATTATTAGTACTTTTAAAATTTACATTAGTTTTTTGAGAAATCGGAAGTAGCGTAAAGTACTACTTCCAGTCAACGGAAATTACTCAAAATTTAACAGAAAGTAGAGAATTAGATCTTTTACTTACATGTGAAATTTCATTTATCTATCTGAAATAGTACTCAAGTAATAGGCTTTTGAAAAATTCAAAGTAGGAAAAGTACCACTTCAGGTCATCGGAAATCGCTTAAAAGTTGATACGGATCTACGATTTTGATAAAATACTTATATATGAAATTTCATCAACCTAGCTGTAACGGTACTCAAGTTATCGTGTTTACACACGGACAGACAGACAGACAGACACACAGACAAGATTGCAAAATTATGTTTTTCCGTATCAGTGAGGTGTAAAACGTCGAGATTTGTAAAAATCTCGATTTTTTTTTTTTGCATGATTACAAGACTTTCTCTATACTTTGTATATACGAGAAAGTAACAAATGGTTGAGACAAACTGTTTGATAAAACTAATCCAACAAATAGTTGAGACAAACTGTTTGATAAAACTAATCCAACAAATAGTTGAGACAAACTGTTTGATAAAACTAATCCAACAAATGGTTGAGACAAACTGTTTGATAAAACTAATCCAACAAATAGTTGAGACAAACTGTTTGATAAAACTAATCCAACAAATGGTTGAGACAAACTGTTTGATAAAACTAATCCAACAAATGGTTGAGACAAACTGTTTGATAAAACTAATCCAACAAATGGTTGAGACAAACTGTTTGATAAAACTAATCCAACAAATAGTTGAGACAAACTGTTTGATAAAACTAATCCAACAAATGGTTGAGACAAACTGTTTGATAAAACTAATCCAACAAATAGTTGAGACAAACTGTTTGATAAAACTAATCCAACAAATGGTTGAGACAAACTGTTTGATAAAACTAATCCAACAAATGGTTGAGACAAATTGTTTGATCAAACTAATCCAACAAATGGTTGAGACAAACTGTTTGAACATACCTGCCAATGTCTTCCCATTCAACTTCCAAGTAATAGACGGAGTGGGTGAACCTTTTGCTGAGCATGACATTTGGAAACGACTGTTGACAGTCAGCTCTCTATCTCTAGGTACATTGATAAACACAGGTGGAACTGAGAAGTTAATATTAGATTGTCAGTTATAGCAGTTATAACCTTAACCTTTATATCTTCCCTGAACCTCAAAATGTATATCTACCCTGAACCCTAAAAGTGTATTGCTTCCATAAACCCCAAAAGTTTATAGCTACCTTAAACCCTCAAATTTATAGCTACCCTGAACCCTAAAAGTTTATAACTACCCTGAACCCTAAAAGTTAGAGCTACCCTGAACCCTAAAAATGTATAGCTACCCTGAACCCTTAAAGTTTATAGCTATCCTGAACCCTAAAAGTTTATAACTACCCTGAACCCTAAAAGTTTATAACTACCCTGAACCCTAAAAGTTAGAGCTACCCTGAACCCTAAAAATGTATAGCTACCCTGAACCCTAAAAGTTTAAAGCTACCCTGAACCCTAAAAGTTTATAGCTACCCTGAACCCTAACAAGCCGGCTCTGTGAATCTGTTCCTGCACTATTCTCTGCTGTGCAAACATAGTCACCAGTGTCCTCAGCCTACAGGAATACAGTGAGAGGAATATAGTGAGAGGAATATAGTGAGAGGAATATAGTGAGAGGAATACAGTGAGAGGAATATAGTGAGAGGAATATAGTGAGAGGAATATAGTGAGAGGAATACAGTGAGAGGAATACAGTGAGAGGAATATAGTGAGAGGAATATAGTGAGAGGAATATAGTGAGAGGAATATAGTGAGAGGAATACAGTGAGAGGAATACGGTGAGAGGAATATAGTGAGAGGAATATAGTGAGAGGAATACAGTGAGAGGAATACAGTGAGAGGAATATAGTGAGAGGAATACAGTGAGAGGAATATAGTGAGAGGAATATAGTGAGAGGAATACAGTGAGAGGAATATAGTGAGAGGAATACAGTGAGTGGAATACAGTGAGAGGAATATAGTGAGAGGAATATAGTTACATTATACCCTAACCCTAAATAACCATCAACACCACAATTTTTGTAATTTAAAACATGTAAACAATGAACTGGAATCATAAATAGAGTATTTTAATAGAAAATAATACCACAAGAATAGCTTACACTTATGTTGCTTATAAATAAACGTCCATCTTGTTCAACTTTAAACTTGGGGCTCCTGAAATCTATTCTACGTCTGTCCTTAGTCCAGTTAATAGTAGGTGTGGGGATACCAGTAGTCTTACAAGGCAAGGCAACGTTGGATCCAACAGAAACTGTAAACTGGCGATTTGTTGACTCTATCATAGGTGGCACTAAAGAAACATTTATCACCTTAGTATTTGGTCTTACTGGTGAGGTTTATATATGGATTGTTTTTTAAGGAAAAGATCCCATTATCAGCTTAGAGCTTAAGAGTTTAATGATTCAAAGATCTCACCCTGAACATAGAGCTTAAGGGTTTAATGATTCAAAGATCTCACCGTGAACATAGAGCTTAAGAGTTTAATGATTCAAAGATCTCACCGTGAACATAGAGCTTAAGAGTTTAATGATTCAAAGATCTCACCTTGAACATAGAGCTTAAGAGTTTAATGATTCAAAGATCTCACCGTGAACATAGAGCTTAAGGGTTTAATGATTCAAAGATCTCACCGTGAACATAGAGCTTAAGAGTTTAATGATTCAAAGATCTCACCATGAACATAGAGCTTAAGGGTTTGACTTCTTCGCCCAGCACTGTTTTCTGCTGTACACGTGTATGTACCGACATCTTCAGCTCTAAAAATAAAAAGGTTTATGGATAATTTTACCACTGAATTACTATTAGCTTTCATTGATATTTGTCCACCTGTTGAACCCAGACCTCCAAATGTCATGCAGCTAGATCATGCACTGGATGAAATAGATTTAGCATTATAGCAAGGTGTTGACAGGAGGTAGTGGTCAAATTACCTTGAGTGTGGAATAGCTAAATTTCCATTCTGAAGAGTGATGTAGTGCACCCTGCCTGAGCCACGTCTATGACTGGTTGATAGGGTGATATCCTGTCCATCTTTTTCCCAAGTAATTTTTGGCTTAGGTCGGCCATTAGCCTGGCATGGCAGGACTATTGTTCTATTCTGTAGCACAGTGAACTCAGTTTGTCCAACAAGCAGCTCTGGGGGCTCTGTCAGATACAAGTTCTCAACATATGGAAAGGGTAGAATACCACAGTAGATGGGGGCTCTGTCAGATACAAGTTCTCAACATATGGAAAGGGTAGAATACCACAGTAGAATCAGTTTGGGACTTTAAACCCAGAGTTATCACCCCTACCTTGTACCCTAAGACGTATGTCTTTAGCATCACTGCCAGCATTATTTTCAGCCAGACAAGTGTACACACCAGCATCCTTCCTGTCCAGTACGGATATGTACAGAGATCCATTGGACATCAGCGTTATACCTGAAATAATAAAACTACAGATATGTACAGAGATCCATTGGACATCAGCGTTATACCTGAAATAATAAAACTACAGATATGTACAGAGATCCATTGGACATCAACGTTATACCTGAAATAATAAAACGGACTACTAAAACAATATTTGTGGACTAATTAAACTTTTTACAAAGAACTGCATACAAAATGTATCAACTCATACAAAATGTATCAACTCATACAAAATATATCAACTCATACAAAATGTATCAACTCATTTAAACATGTTAAACAAAGAATCAAAATTATTAAAGGATGAATGCTAGCTTCCGTGTAAGAACTGTTTTGAAGTATAAGAATAGACTTACGTCTGTCTGGACTCAGAAGTATTCTGTTTTTCAGCCACTGTAAGTTGGGAGTTGGTAAACCTTCCACTTGACAACTTAATATGACAGCCTCTCCCTCTGATGCCCTTACTGTTGGTTGGCCTCGACTTACAATCTTGGCAGGAACTGAAATTATAGGCCTAGACTTACAATCTTGGCAGGAACTGAAATTATAGGCCTAGACTTACAATCTTGGCAGGAACTGAAATTATAGGCCTCGACTAACAATCTTGGCAGGAACTGAAATTATAGGCCTAGACTTACAATCTTGGCAGGAACTGAAATTATAGGCCTGGACTTACAATCTTGGCAGGAACTGAAATTATAGGCCTGGACTTACAATCTTGGCAGGAACTGAAATTATAGGCCTCAACTAACAATCTTGGCAGGAACTGAAATTATAGGCCTGGACTTACAATCTTGGCAGGAACTGAAATTATAGGCCTGGACTTACAATCTTGGCAGGAACTGAAATTATAGGCCTGGACTTACAATCTTGGCAGGAACTGAAATTATAGGCCTGGACTTACAATCTTGGCAGGAACTGAAATTATAGGCCTTGACTTACAATCTTGGCAGGAACTGAAATTATAGGCCTGGACTTACAATCTTGGCAGGAACTGAAATTATAGGCCTGGACTTACAATCTTGGCAGGAACTGAAATTATAGCAACTGATGAAAACTCTCTGCTGTTTGTAAAAAAGTCCCCTTCCAGATCTGGTGACCCACTGAGCAGGTTAAGTAGAGTTAACCTGTTTCTGTGACATATGAAGGGATAGTGTGGTCAGCACTATGCCCAGCTGCCTTTAATTTACCTAACATAAGATTTGAGTGGACTCTGGAACATGTCATGACTCTAGCCAGGGACCCGAACTCGAGACTTGTGAGTTAGCAGACAATCACTACCATTCCACCACGCCATCCCGTGTCTACTTATGGGCACTTACAAATCTCAGCTAAACTGAACTAACCCAGCCTTATTTTGTTAGTTCAGGTTCTATTCAATGAAATAAGTTTGAGTGTGTCCCAAAAATGTCATTCCTATATCAAGAGAAGAGTGTCTTACTTCTAACATAGAGCTGGACAGATCTGTGAGCGCTGCCCGCAGCATTACTGGCATTGCAGGTATAAACACCATCATCTTCCAGGCGGACTATCATAAATTCTAGAGAACCTGAGGGCAGTACTCTGTGGCGAAGTCCAGTTGCAGGGAAGGGTTGATCATTTTTGGTCCAGGTGACTGTGGGAGGTGGCTGACCACTTGTTTCACATGGTAAAATGGCTCTGGAGTTAACACTTTCAGCTACTTCAGTTTGGCCTTCCTCTATCTCTGGTGGAACTATAATACCAATACAGTAAATGTGGACAGTTGTTAGGGAAAAAAATGCCTCAAAATTGTGTTCTAAGATAGCAAATAAAAAGTCTGAATTTTTACTGATATATTTGATTATTAACCCTTTACCGTCCATGGCATTAAATCTGTTTCACTTCCCCTATGGCCAGGCAAAAAGAAAACGCATTTTCATCCAAGGTACATTTAAAAAAAATTATTTTAAAATGACCTTTAAAGTTACAAAGATAAAATAAAAATCATTGTACACAAAATTGGTCTGAGTTTATAATGTATGAGGTAAAATAGCATAATAATTTTCTATTAATAAATACAAATTATATGAATCCCAGAGAAACATTAACAAAATGCTCTTTCTAATATTATTTCTATAAAAAATTCATTTTAAATGCTAAAAAAAAATTCAACATAGTCAATGGAGCTACTCTCTTTTTCAATATCATTGTATTAGTTACATTATAAATAACGCTTGACAACGGTAGAGGCATTTTAATTAGATTTGATTTCACTAATCATATTGCCAGTAATTTGAAAAAATAATCTTAACTTCAGAAAAATTGTAGAAAATGAACCACATGTGATAGAACAACATGAAAACAACATAAAAAATAAAACTTGTTATTTCCCGCTTCCGCCTGTATCTTCAAAATCTCATTACCAATGAGACTTCAGTTACTATGTGTAAACAAACTTACTATATATAGTATTTGCACTGGGCTCTACCACAAAACAGTTTCTCAGGTAACAGCTGGCACTTAAGACTATAAAGGGTTAAAACAGAAATAGCTGTTGCATCTAGTACTAGATGGAATGAACAAGAATTTACCCATAATAGATACAATAAACTGTAGTAGTAGATGGAATGAACAAGAATTTACCCATAATAGATACAATAAACTGTAGTACTAGATGGAATGAACAAGAATTTACCCATAATAGATACAATAAACTGTAGTACTAGATGGAATGAACAAGAATTTACCCATAATAGATACAATAAACTGTAGTACTAGATGGAATGAACAAGAATTTACCCATAATAGATACAATAAACTGTAGTACTAGATGGAATGAACAAGAATTTACCCATAATAGATACAATAAACTGTAGTACTAGATGGAATGAACAAGAATTTACCCATAATAGATAAAATAAACTGTAGTAGTAGATGGAATGTACAAGAATTTACCCATAATAGATACAATAAACTGTAGTACTAGATGGAATGAACAAGAATTTACCCATAATAGATACAATAAACTGTAGTACTAGATGGAATGAACAAGAATTTACCCATAATAGATAAAATAAACTGTAGTAGTAGATGGAATGTACAAGAATTTACCCATAATAGATACAATAAACTGTAGTCTGTCATCTCCTGCATCATTTCTAGCGTAGCAGGAATAATCTCCAAAGTCTAACAGCTGGGCTGATAAGATCACCAACTGCTTGCCTGTCTCCTGCAAGATGTTAAGGAAATCACATCAGTCACACAAACATTTACATCAAGTACAAAAGTAAAATAGAAAACATTGTTACACAAAATCTCTATAATAAAAAGGTTAAAAAAATGACCTGAATTCGAATGTTGGCCATGCCATAAGCAGGAATGAGGACATTTTTTCTGTACCAAGTGATGCTTGGTGTAGGCACCCCTTCGGCTGGACAGTTGAGTACAACCTCCTGGTCTAAGATGACTGGCATCTCCACTCTCTTGCCAGAACCATTAATTCTTGCAGGTTCTAGACAAAGAAAAAGTGTGCCAGAGCCAGAGAACACTTTTTGGTATTATGATATTTCTATATTATCGAACCCTTGACATCACAATACACGTATGTCACGTCAATGTCACAGTTGATCTTTTATGTGACAAACATTTATTTCTATACAACAGCCCAGATGTCGGCTTGGGACTTTCGTGACAATGTATTGTGTGATTTTTTTCTGAATTTTTTTAATCCCTTCAGACTAACTATGTCAAGCAAACTAATCTGAAATTCAACAGCAAAAGTCACAGTGATTTGCAGTAAACATTCATTATTATGTTTTTATTTTTTGTGTAAAAATCATATTTTAATGATCTTTAAACAAATGTTAATGTACAGTTCATTTAGTGCACCAGTAAAATATATACCTATGTTTTGAATTTTAAAAACGTATTTTATTGTTCCTTTTAAGAAGGGTTTGGTCAAAGCAATTATATTAAATAGGTAGGGTTTGGTGTCTCCAAAACCCACAAAACTAAGACCATTCTGTTTTACCATAAACTTCCAGGTCAAAATATTTTTCTGCAAATCCAGCCTGGTTCTCAGCATGGCAGGTGTACCTGGCTCTGTCCAGTGGCTGGACATCCACTATTTGTAGGGTCATGGAGTGGTCTAAAATCTAAAACATACAGCAGAGAATGGTCTAAAATCTAAACCATACATCAGAGAATGGTCTAAAATCTAAACCATACAGCAGAGAATGGTCTAAAATCTAAAACATACACCAGAGAATGGTCTAGAAAACATACATCAGAGAATGGTCTAGAGTCTAAACATTAATTCTTCCTAAATTCTGAAAGCTAATGGATATGCTTATATGAAAAGAATGATTGAGTACTGTGTACCTGCTTGCGTCCATTCTCTTCCTCAAGTATAACAGCTCCATCTTTAAACCATAAAATTGTTGGCTCAGGATTGCCTATGACTGCACATCTCATAGATATAGATTGACCTTGATGTACATGGAGTCTATCTGGAGTTGGCTTGCCAATCAGAGGAGGAACTGTTAGTAAAACAAATTTTTTTTTTTACACCTGTTCAACATAATATAAATATGACCAGGATGAAATTAATTCAACTGCTTTAAAAATTAGTGTACAAACCTCTAAATAAATTTCTAGTGTATTTACTTTCAGTGCTTTTTTTTTTGGAGTGCCAGAAAGGCATTACAAGCATTGGGCCAATGGTGTTCTAGAAACTGGTGTTTGGCCAGTTGCTACTGGGCCAATGTTTTTTTTGGCCAAGAGAAGTTCAAACAATAGGCTTTGGCCAATAGGTTTTCAGATAATATTTGATGACACATTAATATAAATGTGAACGATGTTACTAAACAACTTACTAAAAACTTGAAGAGTAAGATCCATGTCATCCACTCCAGCAGGGTTTATTGCCCTACAGCTGTAGTTACCAGCATCTTCAAGCTGGGCATTGCTGAGTTCTAGGGTCTGGCCATCATTCAACACTCGCATATCAATGTATGGGAAGTCTAAAATGGGTTGCTGTCAAAACACATGAGTGGGTTAGGGTTTTAGAATTACCTGATTTCACAGGTGAAACAATTGTGTTACACACATTTCAATAGGCCATACATTGTCCAAGTAAAATAGTTACAAGAAATGTAGAGGTTGCTGATTACAAATCATCTTTCAAGCTACCTGGGTAAAAGAACTACCTGAGCCATCTTGGCACAGGCTAACTACCTGTGGTTTAATTTACAATTGTAAAGGAAGAAAAATGTTGCAAGGAACAAAAATGTTGTCAAGTAAAAAGAATGTTGTAAAAGAAAAAGATTTAAAGATTGGTCACAAAAGGGATGATTTATTGCCAAGCCTGTCTGTATGGGGTGGTTTTCTAAAATTGTTCTCACTTTGTCTTTCATCCACAAGATGTCTGGCTCTGGTACTCCTGTGGCTGGGCAGTGCAGTCTAACAGTGCTGTTTTGTACCACACTTAGGCTCTTCTCAACAGATTTACGCTCAATACTGGGAGGAACTGTCAAATACATACATTATATTTTTTATTGGAGGAACTGTAATATACTTCTGTAACACATGCCATAGTGTCACCTTCCAGGGAAATAATCAGAATCTTATACGTTTGTGGGCCCTGTGGAGCAGCACTTGTTAATGCTATGATGTGCTCTTGTGAGCAATTGTTACTAGTTTTCCAAAGTCATGTGACCTCTGGGAATCTGGGTAGTGTTCTGACTTACAGCACAATGTGCCATGGGCTCTAGACCCTATGTGCTGATGGTCATTGGTCACAATGTAAAGTGCCATGGGATCTAGACCCTATGTGCTGATGGTCATTGGTCACAATGTAAAGTACCATGGGCTCTAGACCCTATGTGCTGATGGTCATTGGTCACAATGTAAAGTACCATGGGATCTAGACCCTATGTGCTGATGGTCATTGGTCACAATGTGCCATGGGATCTAGATCCTATGTGCTGATGGTCATTGGTCACAATGTTAAGTCCCATGGGCTCTAGACCCTATGTGCTGATGGTCATTGGTCACAATGTAAAGTACCATGGGCTCTAGACCCTATGTGCTGATGGTCATTGGTCACAATGTAAAGTCCCATGGGATCTAGACCCTATGTGCTGATGGTCATTGGTCACAATGTGCCATGGGATCTAGACCCTATGTGCTGATGGTCATTGGTCACAATGTAAAGTGCCATGGAATCTAGACCCTATGTGCTGATGGTCATTGGTCACAATGTGTCATGGGATCTAGACCCTATGTGCTGATGGTCATTGGTCACAATGTAAAGTGCCATGGGATCTAGACCCTATGTGCTGATGGTCATTGGTCACAATGTTAAGTACCATGGGATCTAGACCCTATGTACTGATGGTCATTGGTCACAATGTGTCATGGGCTCTAGACCCTATGTGCTGATGGTCATTGGTCACAATGTAAAGTGTCATGGGCTCTAGACCCTATGTGCTGATGGTCATTGGTCACAATGTGTCATGGGATCTAGACCCTATGTGCTGATGGTCATTGGTCACAATGTAAAGTGCCATGGGATCTAGACCCTATGTGCTGATGGTCATTGGTCACTATGTTAAGTCCCATGGGATCTAGACCCTATGTGCTGATGGTCATTGGTCACAATGTAAAGTACCATGGGCTCTAGACCCTATGTGCTGATGGTCATTGGTCACAATGTAAAGTACCATGGGATCTAGACCCTATGTGCTGATGGTCATTGGTCACAATGTCCCATGGGATCTAGACCCTATGTGCTGATGGTCATTGGTCACAATGTGTCATGGGATCTAGACCCTATGTGCTGATGGTCATTGGTCACAATGTAAAGTACCATGGGATCTAGACCCTATGTGCTGATGGTCATTGGTCACAATGTAAAGTACCATGGGATCTAGACCCTATGTGCTGATGGTCATTGGTCACAATGTAAAGTACCATGGGATCTAGACCCTATGTGCTGATGGTCATTGGTCACAATGTCCCATGGGATCTAGACCCTATGTGCTGATGGTCATTGGTCACAATGTGTCATGGGATCTAGACCCTATGTGCTGATGGTCATTGGTCACAATGTAAAGTACCATGGGATCTAGACCCTATGTGCTGATGGTCATTGGTCACAATGTAAAGTACCATGGGATCTAGACCCTATGTGCTGATGGTCATTGGTCACAATGTAAAGTGCCATGGGCTCTAGACCCTATGTGCTGATGGTCATTGGTCACAATGTAAAGTGCCATGGGCTCTAGACCCTATGTGCTGATGGTCATTGGTCACAATGTACCATGGGATCTAGACCCTATGTGCTGATGGTCATTGGTCAGCAAACGATGATAGCAAGTATAGGCTAATATTTAAACCATGCATTAGGCCAGTCTTAGTAACTTAACGGCAAACTGGCATGGTTACAATCACAGGCTAGAAAGATTATATTTTTATATAAAGATCTAGTCATGTAAATCTATTTAGGTATTAGCTAGTCACATAGTCATTGTGGGCCTGATGTGTATAGGTTACAAAGTCTATTCAAGTGTTTAAAATAGGTTATAGTGTATCATTGACAAGTGTGTAACCTATTTTTCCTATTTTTAGGGCTGAACATTTATGTCATTCATGTCAATTATGCCCTACCTGTCCTGTTTGTCAGCAACATTATAATCATGGCCATTGTATACTTTACAACAACCTGTGTAATGCTACTGAGTCACACCCTATCCCCAGTGGCTGACCATCACACCCTATCCCCAGTGGCTGACCGTCACACCTGGCTGACCATCACACCCTATCCCCAGTGGCTGACCATCACACCCTATCCCCAGTGGCTGACCATCACACCTGGCTGACCATCATACCCTATCCCCAGTGGCTGACCATCACACCTGTCTGATCATCACACCCTATCCCCAGTGGCTGACCATCACACCTGGCTGATCATCACACCCTATCCCCAGTGGCTGACCATCACACCCTATCCCCAGTGGCTGACCATCACACCTGGCTGATCATCACACCCTATCCCCAGTGGCTGACCATCACACCCTAACCCCAGTGGCTGACCATCACACCCTATCCCTAGTGGCTGACCATCACACCCTATCCCCAGTGGCTGACCATCACACCTGGCTGATCATCACACCCTATCCCCAGTGGCTGACCATCACACCTGGCTGATCATCACACCCTAACCCCAGTGGCTGACCATCACACCCTATCCCCAGTGGCTGACCATCACACCCTATCCCCAGTGGCTGACCATCACACCCTATCCCCAGTGGCTGACCATCACACCCTATCCCCAGTGGGTGACCATCACACCTGGCTGACCATCACACCCTATCCCCAGTGGCTGACAATCACACCCTATCCCCAGTGGCTGACCATCACACCCTATCCCCAGTGGCTGACCATCACACCTGGCTGATCATCACACCCTATCCCCAGTGGCTGACCATCACACCTGGCTGACCATCACACCCTATCCCCAGCGGCTGACCATCACACCCTAACCCCAGTGGCTGACCATCACACCCTATCCCCAGTGGCTGACCATCACACCCTATCCCCAGTGGCTGACCATCACACCCTATCCCCAGTGGCTGACCATCACACCCTATCCCCAGTGGCTGACCATCACACCTGGCTGACCATCACACCCTATCCCCAGTGGCTGACCATCACACCCTATCCCCAGTGGCTGACCATCACACCCTATCCCCAGTGGCTGACCATCACACCCTATCCCCAGTGGCTGACCATCACACCCTATCCCCAGTGGCTGACCATCACACCTGGCTGACCATCACACCCTATCCCCAGTGGCTGACCATCACACCCTATCCCCAGTGGCTGACCATCACACCTGGCTGACCATCACACCCTATCCCCAGTGGCTGACCATCACACCTGGCTGACCATCACACCCTATCCCCAGTGGCTGACCATCACACCTGGCTGACCATCACACCCTATCCCCAGTGGCTGACCATCACACCTGGCTGACCATCACACCCTATTCCCAGTGGCTGACCATCACACCCTATCCCTAGTGGCTGACCATCACACCCTATCCCCAGTGGCTGACCATCACACCCTATCCCCAGTGGCTGACCATCACACCCTATCCCCAGTGGCTGACCATCACACCCTATCCCCAGTGGCTGACCATCACACCCTATCCCCAGTGGCTGACCATCACACCCTATCCCCAGTGGCTGACCATCACACCCTATCCCCAGTGGCTGACCATCACACCCTATCCCCAGTGGCTGACCATCACACCTGGCTGACCATCACACTCTATCCCCAGTGGCTGACCGTCACACCTGGCTGACCATCACACCCTATCCCCAGTGGCTGACCATCACACCCTATCCCCAGTGGCTGACCATCACACCCTATCCCCAGTGGCTGACCATCACACCCTATCCCCAGTGGCTGACCGTCACACCTGGCTGACCATCACACCCTATCCCCAGTGGCTGACCATCACACCCTATCCCCAGTGGCTGACCATCACACCTGGCTGACCATCACACCCTAACCCCAGTGGCTGACCATCACACCCTAACCCCAGTGGCTGACCATCACACCCTATCCCTAGTGGCTGACCATCACACCCTATCCCCAGTGGCTGACCATCACACCCTATCCCCAGTGGCTGACCATCACACCCTAACCCCAGTGGCTGACCATCACACCCTATCCACAGTGGGTGACCATTACACTGAGAGGCAATGCTACACATCAATTACATTTTTTAAAATTGGATAATCTGTCAAATACATCAATCTAATCTTTTATTTCAGGGTAAATGTCAATTCAAATTTTAAAAATTAACCAAGTTGGGGAACAGTAAAGTTGATAGTGTTAGAATGAAATGAAAACTTACTTAAGACTTCTAAGTTAAATATTCTTTCAATTTGCCCAGCTTCATTTGTGGCTATGCAGGTATAAGAAGCAGTGTCCCCTACACTAACTTTATCAATTTCAAGGATTCTGTTATTATTGAGAAACCTGAGGACATTAAACAAAGCATACTGTTTTATTTTCTACTTCTTAATAAATATGAATTTTAAAAATTAAAAAATAAAAGTCAAAATTTTTTTTTGGCATTCTATTCATTGTTAATAAAGTTGACACCCTAAAAACTGTATTGAGAGTACTGAGAGATGATGGTACTCATCATTTCCCCAATCGTGAGTCAGGCTCTGTATTGTCATTCTACACCTGAGATAATGTCCAGTCACTCAGTGCTATTGAAAATTGCAACTAGCACAGAGTTACAAGAGTGTTTGCACAAAGTTACAAGAGTGTTTGCACAGAGTTACAAGAGTGTTTGCAACTAGCACAGAGTTACAAGAGTGTTTGCACAGAGTTACAAGAGTGTTTGCAACTAGCACAGAGTTACAAGAGTGTTTGCACAGAGTTACAAGAGTGTTTGCACAGAGTTACAAGAGTGTTTGCACAGAGTTACAAGAGTGTTTGCACAGAGTTACAAGAGTGTTTGCAACTAGCACAGAGTTACAAGAGTGTTTGCACAGAGTTACAAGAGTGTTTGCACAGAGTTACAAGAGTGTTTGCACAGAGTTACAAGAGTGTTTGCAACTAGCACAGAGTTACAAGAGTGTTTGCACAGAGTTACAAGAGTGTTTGCACAGAGTTACAAGAGTGTTTGCACAGAGTTACAAGAGTGTTTGCACAGAGTTACAAGAGTGTTTGCAACTAGCACAGAGTTACAAGAGTGTTTGCACAGAGTTACAAGAGTGTTTGCACAGAGTTACAAGAGTGTTTGCAACTAGCACAGAGTTACAAGAGTGTTTGCACAGAGTTACAAGAGTGTTTGCACAGAGTTACAAGACTGTTTGCACAGAGTTACAAGAGTGTTTGCAACTAGCACAGAGTTACAAGAGTGTTTGCAACTAGCACAGAGTTACAAGAGTGTTTGCACAGAGTTACAAGAGTGTTTGCACAGAGTTACAAGAGTGTTTGCAACTAGCACAGAGTTACAAGAGTGTTTGCACAGAGTTACAAGAGTGTTTGCACAGAGTTACAAGAGTGTTTGCACAGAGTTACAAGAGTGTTTGCAACTAGCACAGAGTTACAAGAGTGTTTGCACAGAGTTACAAGAGTGTTTGCACAGAGTTACAAGAGTGTTTGCAACTAGCACACAGTTACAAGAGTGTTTGCAACTAGCACAGAGTTACAAGAGTGTTTGCACAGAGTTACAATAACCCTTTAGAACGCACACAAATCACAATTTTGTTTTAGGCTAAACAAGGTAATTCCAGCCAACACAACTAAAATACTTGCTTTAAACCAGCCTTAAAGGCAATCATCTGTCCCCATTAACATCTGTTTTGGTTATCAGGTAAGAATAAAATCTGTGAACAAAGGCTCACCCCAACTGATCATGTATTGACACAAATATTGTTGTCTCCACTTTTGCTATCCAACATATTCATCTTTTAATTTGTTTTAATTACTTATTTAACACATTCATTAAACAAGGTAATTAAAAAGTCTAGTGACAATTTTAGCGCAATTTCCTTATGTTATCTAAAAATAGCTCTGTCGTAGCGTAAATCAAGAGCAGGGTTAGTAAAACCATTGGTTAGTTAATTAGTTATTAAAACGTTTTTTATTAATTTTTTTTCAGTATTTTACATGTTTTATTTACAATAGAGTTACATGACTAAAAACCAGTGCGCGCCTAGCTACTGAACGTGATGACGCAGCCATTGAACGTGATGGCGCAGCTATTGAACGTGATGACGCGTATGGTGTGGTTGGATAAAAATGCCTACTAATTCGGTCCAAATTTTAATTAATTAAAAAAATTTTTTGTGACCCAACGAAAGGATATTTTTGAAAACTTTCTTCGGCAATATTGTTCTAAATTATGGCAGGAATCGATTGGTACATGTTTCAAGTCGCTAAGTGGTCTGGTTGCCGAGATATGGGCCAAATACTGCATTTTTTCGAGCTTTTTGGCTTTTCCGGGAAATCCATGAAAGAAACCCGGAATTTTTTTGGCCTATGTTCATCTTCGTAACTAGCTTAACATAATTGCTTTGGAACTAGTCCTCGATATTGCTTCGTTGAGGAGGAGATACGACTTAAAGCTGCGGACACACATCCATCCAGAAATGACGGGTTAATAAACGCAATTCTCCAGAATGGAAATTGCGCTAAAAATAAATGGATGTAACTGAATTTCTTGCATTGGAAGTGGGTAAAAAATGGGTGTTACAAGATTTGCACATCCCTCAAACTGACGACAGACAGACTTAAGTGAAAGCTTATAAACATGGCAGCAGAAATTGTGAGACAGAGAGAGTCAGACATTGTGAAAAGCAAACAGTTGCAGCACTTACACAAGATGATCCAAGTTTTGGGCTGGAGCTCCATTGACCATCCATTCCACTGTGGGAATGGGGATACCATGAACTGGACACTCCAGTTGAACTTTTCTGTCTACATTTACTTTACGATCGTAAACCACATTGGATTCATCAATTGATGGGGGAACTAAAACAAAACATAACAGGCTATATTAAAGTTTTTAAAATGATTTAAGACATCTAATTTTTCTTAAAGGCTCTTAAGAGACAACTTACATTTATTCAATCTATTAATTTAAAAATGTTTAAGAAAGAGTCTAAAAATATTTTTGAATGAGAAAATATGATAACTATTTATATTTGTAATAAAAACTTACGCTGAACAGCTAGGTCAAAATCTGCTTTGTCAACCCCAGCAGGGCTCATAGCAACACATGAATACATGCCAGTATCTCCCTCCTCACTGGGGGCTATACGCAGTTGGAGACCATTGCTAACTATCTGAATACGGGGCTGGTCAGGAATTTCTTGTCCATCTTTCAGCCAGGTTATAGTTGGAAATGGTATGCCAGTAACAGGGCAGTTGATAGAAATGGTGTGACCCAATAGGAACCGAGGTTTAGTATCCAGAGCTGTGTGGTCAATCACAGGGGGAACTGGGAAATGGAAGCCAAAACTATTTCATACACACGAGTAACAGTTAACTTTCAAAATAAATTATCAGATTATGAAATGTGCAGGAAAGAAACATAACTAATTATTAATTGCAGAGGAAGAAATGAGTTTCATTCAATTTTTTTGTCGAATGCATGTGTTTCTTCTTATCTGCATGTTAAAAAGGACTTACCCCAGACTTCAACATTGTAAGTCAGCTCAGCATCACCAGCCTGATTGGAGGCAATACACAAATAGATGCCAGCATCTGAGACGTGACTGTTTGAGATGACCAGCCTCTTGCCCGAGTCAGTGCTGCTCAGGTGGGGCAAGGAGTCTGGGTCTAGAGGCTGACTGTTCAGGTACCACACAATGGAGGGTTCTGGTACACCCTGGGCTGGACACTCTAATGTGATTGTTTCATTTTCAACTACAACTATTTCTGGGTTGATTCCATCCACTGGAATATTTGCTGGAACTGATCATAAACATTTGCTTTCAAGATATACATATATGTGTATGAAAAAGTGAAACCTGCAATAGTTTGTGTAGTGCAAATATATTGTTTTTAAGGTACTTACAGAAGAAATTCAAATGAATAATTAATTTTAAAAAAAAGTGTTTTGTATCTGCTTAGTAAGGTAAGTTTAGGAATATTATATTACTAGTTAACTAGCATTGCCCACAATTAAGTATAGAAAGATGTCACTAACATTGGTTGCTTACCTTTGCCAGCTGTTGCCAGTTAAGCATGTGATAAAAAACAAGATTAGATTAGCAATAGAAAAAAGGTTTGATCATGCAGATAAACTGAAATGTTCACCCTGCACATTGAGATTTAAACTGATGCTGTCTTCTCCTGCTTGGTTGAAGACTTCACATCTGTAGCGCCCAGTGTCCACAAGACTGGCTTGCAGTATGACTAGTTCTGTGCCATTTGATCTCCTCTCAACTATTCCTGCTTTCTCCTCTACTGGTTGGTTGTCCTTCAACCAGTTGATTGTAGGTGGGGGAATACCAGAGACTGGGCAAGGCAGTGTAATGCTGCTGTTGACAAGAACTCTTTGGTGGAAATTAATTCCTTGGCGATTGATTCTGGGAGGGACTGGAAGTAGAAATGTAAGTTAACAAAATGTTTCATCCACTGCTGCTGCTGTTGGGAATTATGGTAAGTGATATTTACCTGTGACAAAGAAATCAAAGTCAATTTCCTCTTTCCCAGCTCTGTTTTTGGCAGAGCATGTGTAACGACCCGTGTCTTTTACTTGTACAGAGTAAAGACGAAGCTGCCTGCCACCAGCTACTATCTCATGGCGAGGATGGATGGATGCATCAAGCAAAACACCATTTCTATACCTGAAAACATTACATGAGGGGTAGATACATTGGACAGCATTTTGATTACAACTTTTGTAATGAGCAAAACAAGAAAAGTATTTTGGTATTGATGTTATATCCAGATGTTTTTTTATCAGAGTGCAGCAGGGTACTCCACTTCATGCAAACCACTAAGTAACAAGGGAGGCTACACTGAGTAACAAGGGAAGCTACACTGAGTAACAAGGGAAGCTACAAACCACTGAGTAACAAGGGAAGCTACAAACCACTGAGTAACAAGGGAAGCTACACTGAGTAACAAGGGAGGCTACACTGAGTAACAAGGGAGGCTACAAACCAGAGGATTTCAGGGGAAGGATTTCCAGTGGCAAGACAGTTGAAAGCAATTGAGTTGTTTACAGAGGCCTCTGGCTTCAAGTCAATATTGTCTCTGTTTATGGTTGGACGCACTGTAAATAGATACACAAATTGCTTCATCAACATCTACATATAGTCTGTCATCAGTTTGACTGTACACATAGTCTGTCATCAGTTTGACTGTACACATAGTTTGTCATGTTTGACTTTACACATAGTTTGTCCAAATAAAAATCAACATCAACATGTGATAATCAAACTTACATAAAACCAGTTTTGCAAAAAAAAAAAAAAAAAAAATCAACATCCACATATGATAATCAAACTTACATAAAACATCAATATCAAAAACTTTCTCTGACTGCCCTGCTACATTTTCAGCTCTGCAGTAATATCTGGAGGCATCTGTAACATTGGCGTCATTAATTTCAAGTGTCCATCCAGAATCCAAAAGTGTCAACTGTAAGGGAATTTAAAAATGATCTTTAGCAAAATAACTGTAAGGGAATTTTTAAAATGATCTTTAGCAAAATAACTGTAAGGGAATTTTTAAAATGATCTTTAGCAAAATAACTGTAAGGGAATTTTTAAATGATCTTTAGCAAAATAACTGTAAGGGAATTTTTAAAATGATCTTTAGCAAAATAACTGTAAGGGAATTTTTAAATGATCTTTAGCAAAATAACTGTAAGGGAATTTTTAAAATGATCTTTAGCAAAATAACTGTAAGGGAATTTTTAAAATGATCTTTAGCAAAATAACTGTAAGGGAATTTTAAAATGATCTTTAGCAAAATAACTGTAAGGGAATTTTAAAATGATCTTTAGCAAAACAACTGTAAGGGAATTTTAAAATGATCTTTAGCAAAATAACTGTAAGGGAATTTTAAAATGATCTTTAGCAAAATAACTGTAAGGGAATTTTAAAATGATCTTTAGCAAAACAACTGTAAGGGAATTTTAAAATGATCTTTAGCAAAACAACTGTAAGGGAATTCTAAAATGATCTTTAGCAAAACAACTGTAAGGGAATTTTAAAATGATCTTTAGCAAAATAACTGTAAGGGAATTTTAAAATGATCTTTAGCAAAATAATAGTATGGAAATTTTAACATGATCTTTAGCAAAATAACTGTAAGGGAATTTTAAAATGATCTTTAGCAAAATAATAGTATGGAAATTTTAACATGATCTTTAGCAAAATAACTGTAAGGGAATTTTTAAAATGATCTTTAGCAAAATAACTGTAAGGAATTTTTAAAATGATCTTTAGCAAAATAACTGTATGGGAATTTTTTAAAATGATCTTTAGCAAAATACTACCAGCATTCAAAACATAATGTAGCTTATGAAGTAAAAAGTGAAGCTAGTCTTTTATAATTATTATTTGGGGCTGAACTAATCCTTGTTACCTTTGGAAGAAAATAGAACTTGAAGTGAACTAATCCTATAGTTACCTTGGAAGAGTTAGCCTTGATATGCTGCTCCTGTTTAAACCATGTTATTTTGGGTAGAGGAATGCCAGATGCTGGGCAGGTAAGTTTAACACTGCTTCCTTCAATGACCTCAAGATCCTCAGGAAACCCAGCCCTATCAACTTTTGGGGGTACTGTCATTCAAATTCAATGGAGAGAGTTATAAAACGCCTAAAGAATATTTTACAAAAGAAGTACTGTACTATAGTTAATTTAATATATTTTTACTAACTCAAAAGAATACAATCAACAGATTTTATCAAGAGTTTTAAATTGTTTTAACTAATATAATAAGATCCTGTAAAAATAAATTAGTTTAAAAAAAAAAACCTACTAAAAACATCAACAACAAAATCTCTGGTAGTCTGCCCTGCTATATTTTCTCCAATACAGACATAGCGACCTTTATCTGTGACTTGAGCATTGAAGAGTTCTAACCTTCGACCTTCCCCATGTAACCTGATGCTTGCATCTAGAGATAAAGGCTCTCCATCTTTTAGCCACCTGACCTGGAAGTTTTGAATTGCTTGCCCATCAGAAAATATTGGCTTAAATAATGACAACTTTTAAGATCTCTTTATTTGTGCTTAATTTTTTACAATTATTAAATAATTATATCTACAAAAAAGTAAGCTAATTAAGGAATTGCATTAAAAAAATTTTTTAAAATCTAAACTACTAAATTTCTCATGCCTGTGGAGGTGGCTTCCCTTGGATAGGGCAATTGATGTACAATGTTTGCCCAGAGATGACACTTTGATTAGCAGGGGACAGTCCTGACTCATCTACACTTGGAGGTACTAAAACAAAGGGAAGCGTATATAACTATATCTTTTTAAAAATAGTACTTGTAAAATTCTCAAATTTAGTACTTCTAAATTTTGTTTATGTTAAATTCTTTAGTTTCTTTCTTTTTTTCTCCTGCATTTGATTTCACATGGAGGTGTTTTGATTTGAATGCACTACATTGGGGGCCCCCACAATCATTTATTTAAAAAAATGCTTAAATTAGTTTAAGAATAATTTCTTATTGCCTTAACTATGATTGTCTTAAATTTTAATTAATTGAAATTAATTGAATATAAATCTTACCATCAACTTCCAGGTTAAAGTCCTTCTTGACTGTTCCTGCTACATTAGTGGCCATACAATGATAACGAGCTTCATCCCCTATTGCCACTTGGTAAATGGTCAGCAACTTCCCATGGTTAGCTAAAGTCATCCTCTCATCTATTTTTAGCTCTTTATTGTCCTTGAACCATGTGATCACTGGAGGAGGGTCTGTTTCATCTGACACAGGACATAGCAGGGTGACATTTCTTTGAACTGTCGCCTTTGACCTTTCAGGAAGACCCGATCCACCAGCACCAGTTAACTTTGGAGGGACTAAATATAATTTCATATTTTAATATAATTATTTCAAATACAAATGAAGCTTGAATGAATGGACATGAACAATAATGCCAAGCAGTGTGTGTGTGTGTTATCAGTAGGATGTGACAGCATGTAGAATCATCAAAAGAGAATAATCAATAGGGTAGCATACAATGATATCAATGGATGGTGCTTGAATGTGTTTTATCATCACTGACCTAAAATTTTCAATTCAAAGTTCCTGTTGGCAATGCCAGCAACATTTTCAGCCACACATTCATATTTTCCTGAGTCTCCGGCTTTAGTGTTGTCAATTTCCAGGGAGCCATCTTCAAGCTGAGTGGTACCAGCTTCTTCATGGGAAATGGGAACATTATCTTTATACCAAGTAATTGTAGGCTTTGGTGTGCCAACAGCAGGACAAAAGAGAATAACTGGATTCTTTTCAACCACTTCATTATATTCTGTGTAAAGTCCTTGAATTTCTGGAGCACCTACACTCAAAAATTATGCAATAACAGTTCAATGTTAAGTACAGTAACAAAATTTACTTTAAATAAAAATGAATGACCTATTTTAAACAAGGTATAACTGGTGCATTAGTATTTATATTATACTTCATTCCCAAAAGGCTGAATCCCTACACATGAATTATTAATGAGATACTTGTAGTTTTTGACTTTGTATAAGATTGATGAAGTTACCGTGGACTGTAAGGTAAATGCCTCTAGAGATAACACCAGCAGGATTTGTAGCTGTACACGTGTAGTCGCCACTGTCAGTGAGCTCAGCTGAGCTAATGGTCAATGAGCCTCTGGGTGACATAAAGTAGCCTCTATCTACATCATCAGCATCCAGGACAACACCGTCCTTCTTCCATAGCACAGCAGGCTGGGGGTCACCAGAGGATTCACACTCCAGCACAGCAGATTGACCATACAGCACTGTAACATCTGTTGGCCCTGCTTCTATTGTGGGTGGAACTAGCAAAGACAATGGCAATTATTTCAGTAATCAAGAAATTTCCCTTTCAAAAGTGAACAAGAGTTTTAAAACTGGTGAGACTCACTATAGACGGCAAGTGAAAAGATCTTAGAGCGCTCCCCTGCAACATTGGTGGCCACACACTCATAGAAGGCTTTGTCTGAAGATTGGGTCTCTGAGATGTACAGCCCACTGGCCTGTACTTCCATCCTTGGAGAGTCTGGGACTAGCGGCAGGAAATTCTGGTTCCACGACACGGATGGCTGTGGACTTCCTGTCACCTCACAAGGTAGTAGCACAGATTCTCCAACAATCACCTCAATTGTTTCTTCATACTCACCCGCTATGGCAGGTGGAACTAAAAGAGAAATCAAGTGAATTTAAGTTATCATCTTAAGTTAAAATTATTTTGGTTTTTTTTTTAATCTTATCATGTTTAAAAAAAACCTTTGTAAAAAAAAAATTATGATGAGGAAGCAATGTAGATTAGACCAAGCCCTCTTGTACTTTATATAAAGCTTATTAAAGTCTGAGTGACCAACCTTCAACAAAGAGAGTCACATCTTTGTCTACTTTCCCTGCACTGTTTGAAGCTACACATCTAAACTGGCCAGCATCAGAAACCTCAGCACCAAAAATCTCCAAAGCACCATCGCTTCTGATTAAATAACGTACATCAGTGAACTCTATTTTACTTCCACTTTTGAACCAAGTGATAGATGCGGGTGGATCAGCTGTTACACTGCATGGTAGAGTGATGCCCTGGCCCTGAGTTACAGAAAAGTTGGTCTGGAAATCCAAATCAATCTCTTGTTGAAGTTTTGGTGGCACTGTGTATAAAACAAACAGGAAGCTTTACACAAACAAGTTGTAATGATAAAACAACCAACTCACAAGAGTATGGGTAGTATAACCTAATCACAGAACTTACAAAAATGTGGTATAATGATATAATAGCTTAAATACAAATGATACAAATGAACATGGAACTCTTGGGTTAGCTATCATGTACTTTATGATTTAACAACAACACCTCATGATTTGAAGTGTGATAATTAAAATACACTTGTCCTACTTTATAAATTTAGTTTAAGCAATGCAAGAAAAGACCAACAAACCTAAAACGTCCAAATTGACATTATAAGTCTCATTTCCTCCAATATTACTGGCCACACACACATAGTCTCCATCATCCTCCTCCATGGCATTGGTGATGATTATTTTATTGCCATCCTGCATGTGCAACCTGTCTGTTTCTCGCACTAGCTTCCCATTACGGAGCCAAGCAAGCTTAGGCTTAGGTTTTCCAACTAAAATGTTACACTCCAGCTCAGCTGTCTCTCCCTCTATCACCTTCACATACGGATTGGTATATTCAATCAGAGGGCGTACTGAAATATATGGATTGGTATATTCAATCAGAGGGCGTACTGAAATATATGGATTGGTATATTCAATCAGAGGGCGTACTGAAATATATGGATTGTTATATTTAATTAGATAACGTCTCTCTGAAGTCCTCTGATTCGCATCTGCCGCTCTCCTACATGTGATGAGTAATAATTCTACCATGACACACTATCTCAACTTTAGACATACATCCCATGGTCACGTGTCACTCATGCACCTACATATAGCTCGTAGCCCTTAATGACCAGCATATAACATTAATTAGATTTCCCCTGGCCTGCTCATCTCCAAATATTTTAGGTTAAAGGTTTAACCCCTACCCATTGGGTAATGCGCAGTAAGAAGCTTACAAGTCACAATTTAATTTTGGACAAAACAATGAAATACCTGCCAACAAAAAGACACATTTTTCAACTAATACAGAAAGAATCAAAGGAAGGTTTTTTGCATTGTCACATTTAATGTATTTAAATAATGTAAGCCCTAAATAATCCTTTAGAGCATCAACCAATTTAGCTATGTGGTGGGCACTTGCCACACTCTATAAGGATAAACACAACAAGCATAGATAGGTATCCAAAATACAAGGAAAAAGAGGCACATCAAAAACTGGCAAGCAAGGGAAGAATAACAATATTAACTGAAAGAAAAAGTATAGTGAGGTGAGACTGTTGTGATGCATAAAACAACTCACTGACATGTGCAACACATACACCACATGAATCCACTCACTATAAAACACACAGGCTGAAGATGCAATTGTTGATTTTATTTAAAAAATAAAGTAAGCAAAAGATTGGACAACCCACCTATTCCAGTAACGCTGACAAAGGCTGCAGATTCAACGGTGCCAAAAGAATTTTGTGCCACACAAGTGAAGACCCCCTCATCTCCTTGCTGAACATCTGCACAAACAATTTAACTCATTCATAAATGGCTGCGTAAACTGTTTAAAATATCTAAAAATCTTAGATGCAGTTTAAAGATTGGCAATGCTTGAGTGCCCTGACAGTAGAAATTTATTTTTGAGGAAATTAGTATTATTAAAAAAAAAAATCACTTACTAAAGACATCAAGACTACCAGAGAGCTGCTGTCTGAATCTACCACCTAGATCAATGGGCCTGCCATCCCCTCTTCTCCAGCTGATCTTAGGTGCTGGCCTGCCAGTGGCATGACAAGGAAGAGAGCCATTGTTCTCTATGTCAATGCCAGTATTTTCAGGTGGCTGAACAATTTCTGGTGGTGCTGGGAGATTAGAGGACTTTGTAGATAAATTCTTCATTAATTATCTACGCCAACATATTAAACAAGACTTTAATTAGAGAGAACTTGAGAAAAGTCTTACATCCAACTTCTAGAGTGAGCTCAGCTGAGTCTGAACCTGCTTCATTCTGAACAAGACATCTGTATTGACCAGCATCTGACTCCAGGACATTGGTTATCAGGAGTTGTCCAGCTTTGGTCACATCCACATTATAGACAGACTGGAGCTAGAACACAAAGTGACATGGAAGGAAGCAGGACATTACCTCCATGTCAATAAACCCACCCCTGCCTCGGTCACATCCACATTATAGACAGACTGGAGCTAGAACACAAAGTGACATGGAAGGAAGCAGGACATTACCTCCATGTCAATAAACCCACCCCTGCCTCGGTCACATCCACATTATAGACAGACTGGAGCTAGAACACAAAGTGACATGGAAGGAAGCAGGACATTACCTCCATGTCAATAAACCCACCCCTGCCTCGGTCACATCCACATTATAGACAGACTGGAGCTAGAACACAAAGTGACATGGAAGGAAGCAGGACATTACCTCTATGTCAATAAACCCACCCCTGCCTCGGTCAGATCAGGACATACCCCCCACATAAATTACAAATTAACCCTAAACTTAATCCTAAAATTTAAACTAACTGTTAGGGTTAAGGCTAAAGGCGGAGTTATAAAGTTTCTGGAGGGAATAAAGTTATTCTACATTCTGTTGATTCCACTATTGGAATCTTTTATAGTTTACCTAGGCAAAGTACAAAATATGATTTCTATTAAAATGATATAAGCATACTAGGTATTGGTGAAGGGGAATAATGAGAAAAGTAATGAGAAAAGGGTGAAATAGAACAGTGGGTGTGATGATAAGGAAGTAATGTCCTAGACATGATAAGAAAGTAATGTCCTAGACATGATAAGGAAGTAATGTCCTAGACATGATAGGGAAGTAATGTCCTAGACATGATAGGGAAGTAATGTCCTAGACATGATAGGGAAGTAATGTCCTAGACATGATAAGGAAGTAATGTCCTAGACAAGATAAGGAAGTAATGTCCTAGACAAGATAAGGAAGTAATGTCCTAGACATGATAAGGAAGTAATGTCCTAGACAAGATAAGGAAGTAATGTCCTAGACATGATAAGGAAGTAATGTCCTAGACAAGATAAGGAAGTAATGTCCTAGACATGATAAGGAAGTAATGTCCCACACAAATGTCCAGATTATAGCTAGACTCATGTTATTTAGTACATCTGCCTGACATGACCTGGTAACTCACCATCCTATCTGCTCTGTACCAGGTTGTGTTAGGTAGTGGGATACCCTCAGCCAAACAGTACAGACGAGCATCATCCCCCACGGCAACCAAAAGCTTTTTATCAAACTCTCTGATGCGTGGAGCCTCTGTACAGAAATAGTTTACTGTAATTAGTTTTAAAATATACCTGGGTTTGAAGATACCTATTTAAGAGGATACCTAAACAAGAAGATAGAGTTTATAAGATGAAGCTACATGTACCTATGTAAGTCAATCTTGTGCGCATAAGACTAGAGCCAGCAGAGTTTGAGGCCAGACAGTCATACGTCCCCTCATCAGATGCTTTAAGATTTTGGAAGGAAATAAAACCTCCATCTATCAGCACACGGCCACCAGTTGGAAATGGGTCACCATTTTGAAGCCACTGAAAGGTAGGTTCAGGAAATCCAGTAGCTGTGCAGGTAATGTTGCGTGTTGCTCCTGTAGTGTAGGTCTGCTCTCTGGGGGAGATGTCAGCCACAGGTGGAACTAAAGAAAAAATAATTGGATAACTGTAAGGAGTTTGGCATTTTATTCAAATCATTGTATACAAAGAATTGGATCTGTATTGTAAAATAGATTGCAAATCTGTATGTCATTAACTCTTCAAGCCTGTAATTATTTTCACGTTTTTTTTAATTAATTATCACTCAATTTTTTTAGTACCCCTACGGCTAAAAGACTCACATCTTATTACTTGCTGATTTAAAACCCAGACATTACTGATATAAGTTAATCATAATTGAATGTCCTACACACTAATATAAATTTTAAGTAATTATTTATTTATTGAAGGAAGATATTTAATTAGCTTTAAAGAAGAAAAATAAAGAGTTGATTTTTTTCGGGTAAAAAATATGCTTCTGTTGGGAAAATTAATTATAAGAATTACTTTTTAGGAGTTTTTATTCATAGGAAACGAAAGTTCATCCATTTTTCTACAAAAATCATGGATCGGATTAATCTTAGCATAAATAATTTAATTTTGGTTAATTTTATATTGCGGCAATGTAAATGTTTTGAATTGGCATCTGAATGGTATTTGCCGTGTTAAAAAATGCCGTTTTGCAAGTTGTTCTACAAAAAAAAAAATTAAATAAAATACAAAATTAACCGAATGAGAAAACTATAAGAAGTAAATACAATGAAAAATTGCTGCTCTAGCGTTACCATGACCTAGTTTTACGATTAAAAACTTGGATTCTGAAAAACAACGAATTAGAGAAAATTTTATTGGATGCTGGGAGCATCATTACAGTACGGCAGGCCGGCCTGTCAACCGCTGGGAGCATCAGTACGGTCTTAAAGAGTTAAATACCACATTTCTTAAGGAGTTAAATACCACATTTCTTAAAGAGTTAAATACCACATTTCTAATGACTTTTTAAAAAATCTGCCCTAAGTACAAACTACACTCCAGTTTGGCCAGAGAAATATCACCTTTAAGTCTGAGGAAGACCTTCTCTGTAGTGAAACCACCCTCATTTACTGCCATACAACTGTAGCTTCCTTCATCTTGTTCACCAACATTACTGTTCAACAAGAATGATAGACCAGTTGATATAAAATCATACCCTAGGACTCAGTGTTGTCACATAATAATTATCATTAAATTGTATGCTGGCTTTAACTTAGTACCTTCAGGTACTCCAAAGTGAAATATAAAACAACTAGTTTACTTATTATTTTTACTTAGACTAATACACTTTTTAAACTGATACTTACTAAAAAAGCTCACAAATGAGTAAACAGTCCCTATTAAATAACTAAAATAACAGTGAAAATTAAGCTAGAAAAAATGAGGGAACATACAAAATAACAAGAGTGTCATTGTTATAGTGGCGTATCCGTGGATCAAGGATGTTCTTCTCTGGGTAGCCATTCCTCCTCCATGTCAAATTATATGGGACTGAGCTAATAACATTGCAATACAGCGTGGCAACTTCTCCTGGTAAAACTGAGACATTCTGTGGGGGGATTATTACAGGAGGGGGATCTATATCAGACAAAGAGAAGCATGGAAATATTACGAATACAGTGAATAGAATTCCACATCACTAATTATAACTTCACAATGTTCTGTTATATTAAATAACTAAAAGATAACAAACAAGAAGCACAGTTAACATGATAACTAATAAAGCTTTGAGTAGACTCACCACTTATGTCTAAGTATGTCGATGTAACTTGTGAGCCAGCAGAGTTGGTGGCATTGCAGTAGTAATCTCCTTCTACAAGGCTGCTTGCTCTTTGAATTTCTAGTGTTGCGTTGGCAGGGTCACTACATATTAATTCATTCATTCATTATATTGGATGGCTATTTAAAAAGACATTAAAATTGCAGAACAAGCTTAATGTATAAAACTTTCAACAGTTTACATTTTTCTGTTTATTGAAAAAGGGAAATCAAAAGACAATTACTCAAAGAAGAGATCATAGCCTTGTTGCTTCCCTTGATACCACCATTGCACAGTATATGATATAGGGCTGACAACTCTGCATGTAACTATGGTTGTTGTGTTAAAAAATCCATGAGTAGTTTCTGGCATAAAAACACTGGGTGCCTTAGCCGCCAGTGGGCTTAAGGCAGTCGGTGTGGTTCTTTGCATAACATAGCCAAAATCATCAGTACCTGTAACCTATTCAGTAAGACACCACAGAATTTAAAAAAAAAAATATCAGCATTATTATCTAGCACTCCCTATTATCTAAGTCTATTAAGATATTTTATCCAAAAAATTAAGCTGCATAATTTATTTACAATTACTATTTTTCAAGTAATAATGGGAATTGTTTCATTAACAATACATAGTTCTTGGCCACTGATAATTTCTTCAATGTTTACCTTGACATAGAAGTACTGATCAGGGGGTACAAATGATGTAACATTATATAAAGATTCAACATTTGAGTCTTGAGACAATGGGTATTTCACAATGGTGTTGCCTCTGAGATCAACAAGTTCAAGGTCAGTCAAAACAGAAGGAAATTTGATACCGGTAGAATTAATCAAAACATGAGTTGGGATCCCTAAAAAAATGAATTAAAAAAAAAACCCACATGTAATCATGACTTTAAAATTTTAAATTATAGTTGTGACATGTATTTTTATATCTAAACACATACACTGGCAGAAATACTGAAATATATAAAGCATATTTAATTTTATTAATTATATGCATGGCATAATTGAAATGTAGGCTACATAGGTCTAAATTTTTTTACACTGTTATTTTACAATGATTTTAAAAGCTACCTTGTATAGGCCTGAGGTTAGTCTGAGTTAAGTCTTTGGTTGGGTACTTTGAAAAACCTGTGACAAAGTCTGCGCTGCTTAGGCCTGTAACCCTAACTGTATGACCTCCCTCACTGCTATAACGAAGTCGCCAGTTTCCTGGCACAGGATCTTTGATATTCACAATGGAGACATTTTTCAAAGATAGTAGCTCAGTTAGTCCGTTCTCTAGGGTCATTCTGTTTCCTTGTTTTATTTAAGAAAAAAGAAAAGACTTATGAAATAATTTTATTCTTGCCACACTGTTAGTTTAGACACAATAACAATGCAAATTCACTGAATGACAAACACCAAAAAAAGGACAGAATTTTATTTTCACGTTTTACATATGATATTAGAAAAAGATAACACACAACTAATATTTTACAAAGTTGAACAGTTACTGAATTACCTTCAGGATCTTTTAGAACAATTTTAGGATTGACCCCACTCACTGATACGGTGACCTCTTTGAGGTGTGTATCTAATGGAAGATTAACCTCCTGAGTTTTCTCGTCATCCTCATTTATTGAAAGTAAATTGACTTTTCTTGCTTGGACTGCCACTCTAACAAAACTGAGTACCTGTGATAAAAAAATCAAGGTATTTACCTTTAAGATTTAACTAATGGGCCTTAAGGTGGGGGGGAAGGGGGGGGGATAACTTGAAATATTCTAATTTTTTGTAAGCTGTAGTAGACAAGGGGATGTATTAACATATATGGTTCTATAACTATATCTATACTGTACACTCAATAATCATGTACTATAAATCTATTATAGTTTTTTTATTCATTTTAATTTTTAGTCTTCATGTAGATCTGGATCTTAACAAGACCCAATGGACATGACCTAGCTAACAAGAATCCTTCCATCATTATTGTTGATATGGATAAAAAAAAATGTTTTTTTTAGCACTTGCAATTATAGTAACGAGAAATTCAATATTTTTAGAATCAACGTTATAGAAGATGCAAATCAAGATACTTTAAAATAATGTTTTTTGAGTTTAAGGCTACATTGCTATTTATTTTGATCAAGCCAATGTTATAACCTGAAGTTTCACTTTCGTAAGACAAAATGAATTCATTAATTGGCTCTAACAGTCTAACTTTACGTCATACAGTCTAAAGGTACTCTGTGATCTAGATTTAGTATTCAAAACTTTGATGATAACATTTTTAAAGTTAATTGTTTTCAATTTCTGGGATAAATATTTATATAAACAATAATTATTCTAAATTATTTTTGGCTTTAAAAACTAATTTGCTTTCTTTACCAAAATTACTAATAATAAGACTAGCTCTCAGTGTTTCTTCCAGACATCTCTTCGGGGGGCACCCACACCGAACTAAAAGGAATTTATATAGCAAATATAGATTTATACTTTTAACTAGTCTGTAGCATTAGAAAAAAAGGGAGATAACCTGCCCAGAGCTCTTGACTGATTTTTCAAATTTTGTTTTTACCACGATCTCTTATTAATTTTAAATTAATATCATATTAATTTCCAATACACAAAGCAACCACATTTACAAAATTTAATGAGGCTCAACTTTAACTTAGTGCAATTACTTTTCATTTTCTTTCATTTTTTAATTGGAAAGCAATATATGCTCTGAATTAGCTGCACAAAAAAACGATACAAAATGAGTTAAATAAACCACTTGTGGTTCTTATTTTATAAAGAGTTTGGGATTTAATTTTACAAATACATTTTTTGTGAATTTCTAAAGATTCATCGCTTTATCGGTCATGTTGTTTTTTCCTATGTAATTAATCATAGTAAAAATGTACATTTTTTACAATAAAGCATACCATCAAACAGAAACACGCCTGCACAATTATTAACTAAGGGGGGGAGGGGGGCAAATATACATAAAAGAGCCACCCCTGTTTCATAATTTATCATTAGAATTCCAAAATGTTTTGCAAACATATTTTAAATTATTTTATAAAATATTGTATACAATTTTTATTTTTGTTTCCCATTTGTTTCATTTTTTAAAGAGCTTATATTATATATAGATATTATATAGATCTATAAGACCATACATTTTAATTTTAAATAGAAAAAAATTATTTCTCCTCTCCTATTAAAGCTAAAACTATAAAGTTGGTACCATTGGAATTCTTAATTTTTTCCTCTAAATAACTCATATGATTTTGAGATAAAATACACAAAAATTCATTTTGTATGCTACAGCCTACTTTTAACAGTGTCCGACCCCCCCCCCCCCCCCCCCACCCCTATCGGAGAAAAAAGTCTGGAAGAAACAGTGAGATCTAGATTCTAATTCTAAAATTTTTGATGCTAGATTTAGCTTAGAATGTAATCTAGATTTAGATCTAGTACTCTAGAATACTCTAGAGATTCTACTTGATTCTACTCTTACATCTTAGTCTTACACGATAATAAAAATAACTGGCACATAAGCTGATCTAGATCTAATAGTAATACTAATAGTAATACGGAAAACTAGACTCGACCTCGATCTCTACATCAGAAGTCCTAATCCTACATCTAGATAATCGATAAAATTAGATATAGAATCTAGATCTAGAATCTCGATCTAGTCTAGATCTAGACGATATCTTTATTATCTAGATATTTGTCACATTGACGCCTGCTGCGCTTTGATTAGAATTTTTGTCAGGTTAGGCCTTGACACATTTAAACTTTGACTTATTGGCCTGATTTTTATTAATTTGCCCAATAAGAGTTGTATACTATTTAATATAGGCCATAGGCCTACTAAAAAAAACTAAGATTATAGTTATTTTTTTTCTTCTAATGTGCTGCAATTAAAATTCAGGCCACCGGAATGCACATTAAAAATTCAATTCAAGTACAAACAAGTTAATAAAAAGTCGAGTGACAATTTAAGCGCAATTTCCTTAATTAATTTTTTAGAATTCACAGACCTACGTAAAAATCCTTTCGAACCTCCGCTCATTCGCTATGGTAAAATCGAACCTCAGCGCTTTGCGCTAAATCATCCTAGGCCTACACGATGCTCAGTTTAAAAATTCTTAATTAATTTTTTGTGACCGAACGAAAGGATATTTTTGAAAACTTTCTTCGGCAATATTGTTCTATATTATGAAAGGAATCGATTGGTAAATGTTTCAAGTCGGTAAGTGGTCTGGTTGCCGAGATATGGGCCAAAAACTGCATTTTTTCGAGGTTTTTTTTAGCTTTTCTGGTAAATCCATGAAAGAAACCCGGAATTTTTTTTGGCCCACTATCATCCTGGTAACTTGTTTAACATAATTGCTTTGGAACTAGTCCTCGATATTGCTTCGTTGAGGAGGAGATACGACTCAAAGCTGCGCACATCCATCCATCCATCCATACAGAAATGACGAGTTAATAATCGCAATTCCTGTAAGGAAATTGCGCTAAAAATATTATGTCCATATTTAAGTAGCCCTTTAAAAACCTTGATCTAGATCTAGTAGCATAATAAAACAGAGAGACATTGATACTGGCAGATGGGCAGGTAAGCAGACAGCCAGCCATTGTGACCTAATTAAGAACTTGTAAAATAGCCAACATACCTGATTGACTTGTGACTTTGGCAGCAAAAACACTTGACCAGAGCTAGTGGCAGCGATTTCTTCGTAAGCTCTGTAACCATTGTGATGTTGGTCCCCGCAATCTCCCGTCAACACAAAAACAACCTAATGTACAAATATTTATTTACTTAACACAAAAACAAACTATCGTAATAATATTTATTTTTCCCATTTACACTCAGGGTCGTGATTAATACCAATAATACTCAATATTACTACTCATTTTTATAGGACTACTATTTTTGTGTGTGGTTCAATAGGTTTCGTAACAATGCAACACGTATAAAATATTATTCTGCTTATTTAAGAGGTCTTCAGTACATGCCATCCTAGTGGCATGGGGGGGGGGGGGGGGATTATAGAAACGACAAGTTGGGTTGACTTCCAACATCTGATAGTAAGTAAATTTGAAACTAAATTTAGCATATATCGTAACAGTAAGGGAAAAGACAATGAATATTTTAGAAAAAAAATGCCATAGGGGTGGGAGGGGGGGGGGGGGAGTGCTAATATATGATGGAATATCAGAGGGGTTGGGAGCAGTGGCGGAACTAGAAAAAAAAGGCTCCCCCGCAATAAAAAAATTAGGGCCCCATATATATATATATATATATATATATATATATATATATATATATATATATATATATATATATATATATATATATATATATATATATATATATAATATACCTTAACTGTGTAATTTAGTCTATTTCAGGGGTCTGCAACCTTTTGGGACGAAAGAGCCAAAAGTTACAATTTACCACATTTTACCGTTTTTAAAGAGCCACAAACATTTCCATTTCAATATTATGATATTATATATATATATATATATATATATATATATATATATATATATATATATATATATATATATATATATATATATATACACATTTAAAATAAATAGCTTAAATATGAAATAATATTTATTCATATAAAATCATACACATGTTTCGCACAAAACATTAATACTAATAGTTTCGCTGTCTGTCTATCTATCTATCTGACAAGAACGCTCTAGAGAAAACACAAGGAAAATAAAAACATGCATAGTAATTCGAAAAACGAAGTATGACGTCGACACATTTAGCGCACAGAGTAGAAAATAATCTCAAGCCGGATAGTGCACACATTGATATGACGTCATTGATTTGGTCTAATTTGGTCTAATCTAAGTGGTTTGCGTGAAGTTTCTTTCATACAATTCTTCGGGTAGGGGCGAAGCCCCACCCCCGCGTAAGAACGTCTGAGCCCCCCCCCCCCTCTCCCCAACTCAAAAGAAATTTCCTCATCGATACTCTATAATAAAATTACCGCCTAATTAATGTGTCTAATCTAAAAAGTGGTTTTCTTGCAATTTCTTTAATGCAATTCTTCGCGTAGTGGCTATGCGCGACACCAGTGTTTCTTTCAGACTTTTTCCTCCACGGAGAGGGGTGAGGGTACTTGAAATTTTCGGGGGCGGGGGTAGAATTTTCGGGGAGGGGGCGGACACTGGAAAAAGTAAATAATTATATTTCGTTGAATGGGACGGTAGACATGTTTTTTAGGGGGGGGGGGGTGTGGGGGTGTGGGGGGGGGGGGGGTGTGGTGGTGTGTGTGGGGGTGGGGGGTGGGGGGTGGTGTGTGTGGGGGTGGGGGGTGGGTGGGGGGTGTGGGGGTGGGGGGTGTGGGGGTGGGGGGGTGGTTTTAGTTTAGAGAAAAGAGACAGCACTATCAGCCTAGCGCCCGGTGTATCCTTCCTCAACGGGCCATTTTTCTCGTATTAAAGTAGTTTAGCAAGCTCTGCTCAAAATTAGAAACTTTACATTGTTATTAGATCTAAATCTTTAATTACCGAGTATTGCAGACTAATATTTTTATGAGTTTTAAAAATAAATTAAAATAATTATTAATATTTGTGCATGGAGCTGAAGAGCCGCATCATGACATCAAAAGAGCCGCATGCGGCTCGCGAGCCCCTAGTCTATTTCATTGCAATATATAACCATTCTGAGAGAACAAACCAGAAAAAAATTAGTCTAAACCAACCAATCATGAGGTACAGAGATATCATACAAAAATGCTGGTCAAAAATATATAAAGACGTTAGCTTGATTCGCCAATGGTTTCTCGAGTTATGTTTATTTTTTTCATTTTTGGTTTTTATAATATCAATTTTGAAAACATTGATTTTTATAGCTATACTATTGTATAGTACGTCTTATTTAAGTAACAATTCAGAGAATTAATTGCTTTTTAATATATATAGTACAAAACTATTTAAATGAGCTTTGTGGGCATCCCTATTTTAAAGAAGGGCAGTAAGTCATGGAAGTAGTGTGAATGTTTACCTACCTTTCAAACTATAGCTCTTGTAGATTTTAAATTATTTTTCTACGCAACAATCTCTGCTATAGTAGACCTGTTTTTTTTTTTTTTTACAAAACCACTTTCAAGATGTATGAAAAACATAATTTTTGAAAAAAAATGCATTGTTTTTTGGTCGGAACTGGGCCCCTAAACGTCCTGGGCCCCCCCCCCGCATTGCGGGGTCTGGCGGTATGGTAGTTCCGCCCCTGGTTGGGAGGGGGGTGCTAATATATGATGGAATATGATAGGGGTTTCTATGACGATGGGGAAGAAAGAGAGCCAAAAATAAAGTCACTCCACCAAGTTAGCAAAAATTTAAAAGGAGACCATCTCTAGCTATGACTTCTGTTTTACACTTGAAAAGGGGACCAGTTCTAGCTATGACTTCTGTTTTACACTTGAAAGGGGACCAGTTCTAGCTATGACTTCTGTTTTACACTTGAAAGGGGACCAGTTCTAGCTATGACTTCTGTTTTACACTTGAAAGGGGACCAGTTCTAGCTATGACTTCTGTTTTACACTTCAAAAGGGACCAGTTCTAGCTATGACTTCTGTTTTACACTTGAAAGGGGACCAGTTCTAGCTATGACTTCTGTTTTACACTTGAAAGGGGACCAGTTCTAGCTATGACTTCTGTTTTACACTTGAAAGGGAACCAGCTATGTTGTAAGTACCTGAGACGCACGCCAGCTTTGTCTGGTTTATTAGATCGACCAGGTGCTCAGGAGGAAAAAATATTTTCTAGAAACTTCAAAGGCGTTCCATCCTTGTTGGATGTATCGCATCTCGATGTAGATACAAAGGGTAACTACGCAGGCTAATTAGACAAAGTTTCAAAACTTTAGATTTCTTTTGATGCATTAAAAACCAAATAGCCTTTGCTAACTATGTGGAATGAGCTTTTGATCACTGTCGACTGGATCTCAGTTACCGTGTCATTGCTGAGCTCACCGTGGGGAGGGATGGGGGGGGGGGGGGGGGGGGCACGCGGATTGTTTAAGTAGCGACGTCACTTGGACGTTAAGTTGGTTGATCAAGATTTACTGTCATGACACCAGTCATTCTGATTGCTGAACCCTGAGCCCAGTGATTGTTACAACTGAACCCTGAGCCCAGTGATTGCTGAATCCTGAGCCCAGTGATTGTTACAACTGAACCCTGAGCCCAGTGATTGTTACAACTGAACCCTGAGCCCAGTGATTGTTACAACTGAACCCTGAGCCCAGTGATTGTTACAACTGAACCCTGAGCCCAGTGATTGCTGAATCCTGAGCCCAGTGATTGTTACAACTGAACCCTGAGCCCAGTGATTGTTACAACTGAACCCTGAGCCCAGTGATTGTTACAACTGAACCCTGAGCCCAGTGATTGTTACAACTGAACCCTGAGCCCAGTGATTGCTGAATCCTGAGCCCAGTGATTGTTACAACTGAACCCTGAGCCCAGTGATTGTTACAACTGAACCCTGAGCCCAGTGATTGTTACAACTGAACCCTGAGCCCAGTGATTGTTACAACTGAACCCTGAGCCCAGTGATTGTTACAACTGAACCCTGAGCCCAGTGATTGTTACAACTGAACCCTGAGCCCAGTGATTGTTACAACTGAACCCTGAGCCCAGTGATTGTTACAACTGAACCCTGAGCCCAGTGATTGTTACAACTGAACCCTGAGCCCAGTGATTGTTACAACTGAACCCTGAGCCCAGTGATTGTTACAACTGAACCCTGAGCCCAGTGATTGTTACAACTGAACCCTGAGCCAGTGATTGTTACAACTGACCCCTGAGCCCAGTGATTGCTGAACCCTGAGCCAGTGATTGTTACAACTGACCCCTGAACCCAGTGATTGCTGAACCCTGAGCCCAGTGATTGTTACAACTGAACCCTGAACCCAGTGATTGTTGAACCCTGAGCCCAGTGATTGCTGAACCCTGAGCCCAGTGATTGTGTGAGCAACTAACCTGTGACTGCCTGAGTTGAATCAATGCTAGCACCTCCTCTGTCAGGTAGAAATCCTTGCTCCTGGCGTCAGTGAAGACGTAGATGAAGGAGTGGGGCAGGGAGGCCTCTAGCGCCGTCTTGATGGCTGTTATGCTCATTTCCGGGCAGTCGCCTAAAACAATTGGCCAGATGTTCTACAATGGCGGACTCAGGGTGCCAGCCGGCACGTGTAATGGTAACAAAACAATTCAGCTTACAGCAGATTGAGCTTGGTCAGGTTCTGAGAGGTGGACTCATTGCATCCAGATGTGTGGTGTGGGTGTGTGTGTATGGGGGGGGGGGGGGGGGGGTCAAAGCCTTGTGGCTTTTGGATTTGTGTTTGTAACATGGTCATATGCATGTGTAGATGCATTAGTGTTTGTATGTCTGTGTGTGTGTGGGACACCCTCCCATGTCTACATATACAAGTCTTTATGTATGTGTGAGTCTGTATGTTTGTCTGTATAAGTATCTTTATGTGTGCTTGTAAGACTTACCTTTAATTTAATCAGGTGTGTCTGTATGTAAGTCTGTATGTGTGTCTGAGACTTGCCCCACCCTGAACATACATGTCTATGTCTATATGTGTTTCTGCATGTGGGTCTGTGTGCGTGTCTGTATCTGTGTCTGTATGTGTGTCAGTATGTGTGTCTATATGTGTGTCAGTATGTGTGTCAGTATGTGTGTCTGTATGTGTGTCTGTATGTTTGTCTGTATGTGTTTCTGTATGTGGGTCTATATGTCGGTCTGTATGTGTGTCTGTATGTGTGTAGACACTTACCTCCACCCTGCACATACATGTCTATGTCGGTCTGTGTTTCTGTATGTGGGTCTATACAGGGGCGTAGCGAGGGGGGGGGCGGGGGTGCGGACCGCACCGGGTGACACCATTTAGGGGGGTGACACCAAGGCAAAAAATAGCAAAATATATAGAGAAAAACTTGAGGGGGGGTGCAAATCGAAAGTTTGAGGGGGGGGGGGGGTGCAAATCGAAAGTTCGAGGGGGGATGCAAATCGAAAACTTGAAAGTTTGCCCCCGGGAAGGGTCGCAACGCCTCTGGGGGGGGGGTGACACCATTAAGTGCCGCACCGGGTGACACCCGACCTCGCTACGCCACTGGGTCTATATGAGTGTCTGTATGTATGTAGACACTTACCCCTACTCTGCAAATACAAGCTTATGTCTATATGTGTGTCTGTATGTATGTCTGTATGTGTGTAGACACTTACCCCCAACATGCACATACATTTCTATGTCGGTCTGTGTGTCTGTATGTGTTTCTATATGTGTGTAGACACTTACCCCACCCTGCACATACAGGTCTATGTCTGTATGTGTGTCTGCATGTATGTCTGTATGTGTGTAGACACTTACCCCCACCCTGCACATACAGGTTACGAAGCTCGGCCTGAAACTGCTCAGGGTCTGACGTCACCAGTACAGGGCCGACCACTGTGGACAAAGTAAAAAAAAAGTTTTCGTCTGCTAAGCAAAACAAACAGGTTGTCAGGTTGTCCAGTCAGGTTGTCCAGTCAGGTTGTCAGGTTGTCCAGTCAGGTTGTCCAGTCAGGTTGTCCAGTCAGGTTGTCCAGTCAGGTTGTCAGGTTGTCCAGTCAGGTTGTCCAGTCAGGTTGTCCAGTCAGGTTGTCCAGTCAGGTTGTCAGGTTGTCCAGTCAGGTTGTCTGGTTGTCCAGTCAGGTTGTCCAGTCAGGTTGTCCAGTCAGGTTGTCCAGTCAGGTTGTCAGGTTGTCCAGTCAGGTTGTCAGGTTGTCCAGTCAGGTTGTCAGGTTGTCCTGTCAGGTTGTCAGGTTGTCCAGTCAGGTTGTCCAGTCAGGTTGTCCAGTCAGGTTGTCCAGTCAGGTTGTCCAGTCAGGTTGTCCAGTCAGGTTGTCCAGTCAGGTTGTCCAGTCAGGTTGTCCAGTCAGGTTGTCCAGTCAGGTTGTCCAGTCAGGTTGTCAGGTTGTCCAGTCAGGTTGTCCAGTCAGGTTGTCCAGTCAGGTTGTCCAATCAGGTTTTCCAATCAGGTTGTCCAGTCAGGTTGTCAGGTTGTCCAGTCAGGTTGTCCAGTCAGGTTGTCCAGTCAGGTTGTCCAGTCAGGTTGTCCAGTCAGGTTGTCCAGTCAGGTTGTCCAGTCAGGTTGTCAGGTTGTCCAATCAGGTTGTCAGGTTGTCCAGTCAGGTTGTCCAGTCTGGTTGTCAGGTTGTCAGGTTGTCCAGTCAGGTTGTCCAGTCAGGTTGTCCAGTCAGGTTGTCCAGTCAGGTTGTCCAGTCAGGTTGTCCAGTCAGGTTGTCCAGTCAGGTTTTCAGGTTGTCCAGTCAGGTTGTCCAGTCAGGTTGTCTAGTCAGGTTGTCCAGTCAGGTTGTCCAGTCAGGTTGTCAGGTTGTCCAATCAGGTTGTCCAGTCAGGTTGTCCAATCAGATTGTCAGGTTGTCCAGTCAGGTTGTCCAATCAGATTTTCAGGTTGTCCAGTCAGGTTGTCAGGTTGTCCAGTCAGGTTGTCCAGTCAGGTTGTCCAGTCAGGTTGTCCAGTCAGGTTGTCCAGTCAGGTTGTCCAGTCAGGTTGTCCAGCCAATTATTCCTTTTTAGTCACCCACAGAGATCCATTCTCTATGATATCAACTAATGTGTCAACAAGTATAAAAAAAAATTCATAAAAAACGTTTTAATAACAAGCTTTTATGTAATGATGCACTAAAAAGTAGAAAATAAATTATAGACTACTATTTAAATAACTATAAAGAAAAGCGTTGGTCACTTTAGTATCTATTGGATACCTTTACTAATGTTAAGGAAGACACCCACGCTTTTCTTTATAGTTATTTAAATAGTAGTCTATAATTTATTTTCTACTTTTTAGTGCATCATTACATAAAAGCTTGTTATTAAAACGTTTTTTATGAATTTTTTTTTCAGTACTTTACATGTTTTATTTACAATAGAGTTACATGACTAAAAACCATTGCGCGCCTACTGAACATCACGTTCAGTAGGCGCGCAATGGTTTTTGAACGCAGCCATTACGTGATGGCGCAGCTATTGAAGGTGATGACGCGTGTGGTGTGGTTGGCTAGACATGCCTACTAATTCGGTCCAAATTTTAATTAATTCATAAAAAATTAATTAGTCATCCAATTAAGTCAAATTTAGTTTCAGATTGCATTGTCTTCATGTCTTGACCCACGTGCTAACTTTGAATCGTATCGGTCAAGTAGAACTGTCCGAATTTTCACTCCTGCGTTTCCGTCTAGACAGACAGACAGAGGAAGTGAGTTAAATAAAAGCTTGTAAAAAAAAATTCATAAAAAACGTTTTAATAACAAGCTTTTATGTAATGATGCACTAAAAAGTAGAAAATAAATTATAGACTACTATTTAAATAACTATAAAGAAAAGCGTGGGTCACTTTAGTATCTATTGGATACCTTTACTAATGTTAAGGAAGACACCCACGCTTTTCTTTATAGTTATTTAAATAGTAGTCTATAATTTATTTTCTACTTTTTAGTGCATCATTACATAAAAGCTTGTTATTAAAACGTTTTTTATGAATTTTTTTTTCAGTACTTTACATGTTTTATTTAAAATAGAGTTACATGACTAAAAACCATTGCGCGCCTACTGAACATCACGTTCAGTAGGCGCGCAATGGTTTTTGAACGCAGCCATTACGTGATGGCGCAGCTATTGAAGGTGATGACGCGTGTGGTGTGGTTGGCTAGACATGCCTACTAATTCGGTCCAAATTTTAATTAACTCATAAAAAATTAATTAGGCATCCAATTAAGTCAAATTTAGTTTCAGATTGCATTGTCTTCATGTCTTGACCCACGTGTCAAATGTGAATCGTATCAGTGGCGGAACTAGAAAAGGAGGGCCACCCCGCAAATAAATTTTCTGGGCCCCCCATATATATATATATATATATATATATATATATATATATATATATATATATATATATATATATATATATAAACACAGAATACAAACATTGGATACTCATTTCTGGCCTGATTGGGTTTTGAGAAAAATAATTTTTTTTAAATTTAGACAAATTAGGCCTACATGTCATGTGTGTGAGTGCATTAGTCCAGGGGTCGGCAACCTTTTGAAGCAGAAGAGCCAAAAGTTACAATTGTCAAAATTTCCCTGATTTTAAAGAGCCACTAACATATTTTTATTTTAAATATTTTTTTTTTACTAAGAATATTAGTATTTGCGCAAGGAGCTGGAGAGCCGCATCTTGATATCAAAAGAGCCGCATGCGGCTCGCGAGCCGCAGGTTGCCGACCCCTGCATTAGTCTGTTTTGAATTATTTTTTTTAGTTTTTTTTAGCTTATTTAATATGTTTGACTATCCTCAACAGTCAAGCCAGTCAAAAGAATATAAAGCTTTAAAGCTTTGTATGTGTAATGGTTTCTCGTGTTATGTTTATTTTCATGTTTTTTTTAATTTATATTTTTCGTTTTAAATATGTTTCCGTTTTATGCTATGTCATTCTTTAGTATGTTTTTTTACAAGTAATAATTAAGAAAAGTAATTGCTTTTTAATTTGTTTAGTACAAATATATCAAAAGGAGCTTATACACCCCTATTTAACTATTTAAAAAAAAAGGGAAATAAGTCTTGGAAGTGTTTTGAACGTTTGCCTATATTTCACACTACAGATCAGGCATATATTTTTTTACACAACAGCATATGTTAGCTACTGTATAACATCATTACTGTAGTAGATCTGTTTGTTATTTACAAAAGCTTTTATTTCAAGTCAAGAATGCAAGAAAATTAATTTTTTTAACTATAAAAATGTATTATGGTCGGCCATGGGCCCCTAAATGGTGTGGGCCCCCCCGCAAAGCGGGGTCTGGCGGCACTGTAGTTCCGCCCCTGAATCGTATCGGTCAAGTAGAACTGTCCGAATTTTCACTCCTGCGTTTCCGTCTAGACTGACGACTGACGACTGACGAGGAAGTGAGTTAAATAAAAGCTTGTAAAAAGAACTACAGTTTTCAAATAGTTATTAAATATATAAGATATAAGTTTTTTAAAATGACAGTTTATAAACACAAAACTAATTAGACACTAATTAGACCCTACTTCCATTTTACTAGCTTTGTTTTTGTTGTATCTTTAAAAGCAGGACCAGGGCTATAGAATAATAGATCGTGAATGACTTAGATATGAAGTCATGTCAGTATCACATCACTAGGTGTGACGTCATACTAATACAACATTACAAAATACGATGTTATGTCTCTATCATCATTTCAGTTGCCAGACATAGATTGATCAAACATAGACAGAGATAGGTCAAACATAGACAGAGATAGGTCAAACATAGACAGAGATAGGTCAAACATAGACAGAGATTGGTCAAACATAGACAGAGATTGGTCAAACATAGACAGAGATTGGTCAAACATAGACAGAGATTGGTCAAACATAGACAGAGATTGGTCAAACATAGACAGAGATTGGTCAAACATAGACAGAGATTGGTCAAACATAGACAGAGACTGGTCAAACATAGACAGAGATAGGTCAAACATAGACAGAGATTGGTCAAACATAGACAGAGATTGGTCAAACATAGACAGAGATAGGTCAAACATAAACAGAGATTGGTCAAACATAGACAGATATAGGTCAAACATAGATAGAGATTGGTCTAACATAGACAGAGATTGGTCAAACATAGACAGAAATTGGTCAACCATAGACAGAGATTGGTCAAACATAGACAGAGATAGGTCAAACATAGACAGAGATTGGTCAAACATAGACAGAGATAGGTCAAACATAGACAGAGATTGGTCAAACATAGACAGAGATTGGTCAAACACGAAAAGAGATTGGTCAAACATAGACAGACATTGGTCAAATATAGACAGAGATTGATCAAACATAGACAGAGATTGGTCCAACATAGACAGAGATTGGTCAAACATAAGATCCTGCATAGTACAATCTTACAAGACTAAACGTAAATTTTTGGCCTAAGAAAGCAGAAAATCCAGACAGTTTCGTCATCAATTAGTGCCACCCCTTTAATGATTCTAGCGACATTAATTGAGCAGATAAAATATTCGACTCCGCAATAGACATAGACGTAAAGCCCTCGTCTGCTGGATGAGTTCAACCTCACCACTGGGTGAGTTCAACCTCACCACTGGGTGAGTTCAACCTCACCACTGGATGAGTTCAACCTCACCACTGGATGAGTTCAACCTCACCACTGGATGAGTTCAACCTCATCACTGGGTGAGTTTAACCTCATCACTGGGTGAGTTCAACAGCCGAGAGAAAACCCCACTTGAAACAGCCGAGAGAAAAGCCCACTTGAAACAGCCGAGAGAAAACCCCACTTGAAACAGCCGAGAGAAACCCCCACTTCAAACAGCCGAGAGAAAAGCCCACTTCAAACAGCCGAGAGAAAAGCCCACTTGAAACA